TATCATAATTTTCTGCCAAAACATAATTACATTGAATTTATCTTAGGACGAGATGACGAAGTTTCACAGTGACGATTATATCAAGTTTCTGCGATCCATTCGTCCAGATAATATGGGAGAATACAGCAAACTTCTTCAGAGGTTAGTATTTCATAAACAACAAAATTATTTCATTGAAAAATATGCGAATTTCTCATTTGTGCGATTTAAAAAAAATGCTTCAAATCTTAACTTGGATATTTTAGATTCAACGTCGGAGAAGATTGCCCAGTGTTCGACGGTCTTTACGAGTTCTGTCAGCTGAGCAGCGGCGGTTCAGTAGCGTCGGCGGTTAAACTTAACAAGCAGGCGGCGGATATCGCCATCAACTGGGCGGGAGGTTTGCATCACGCCAAAAAATCTGAAGCATCAGGTAACCATTTGAGAATATATTTTGCAATTCGGAATGACATTTTTCTAACCCACGTTTGTAAACTACGAATCTTGTCAATTTTAGTACTGATAAATTTATTCAGGGTTCTGTTATGTTAACGACATCGTTCTCGCTATCCTTGAGCTGTTGAAGTACCATCAGAGGGTTCTCTACATCGATATCGATATTCACCACGGGGACGGAGTAGAGGAGGCATTCTATACCACAGACAGAGTTATGACAGTGTCCTTCCACAAGTATGGAGAATACTTTCCTGGAACCGGAGATCTCCGAGATATTGGAGCAGGACGGGGGAAATATTACAGTCTAAACTTCCCTCTCAGGGACGGGATTGATGATATGAGCTACGAAGGTAAGATCTAATCCACTGTACTTAAGACATAAATTGAATCCCACTCTCATATTCAACATTCACTTTATCACGTATTTACTAACTCTCTCACTCACACACATCATTTACTTACTCACTTACTCATTTCATGTTGCCCTACACTCAAAATTACTCAAATATCCACTATTTTTTTTGCATTTTTATCTGTTAAATGATTGCTTTCTCCAGGTTTGTTTGTTCCTGTTATGTCCCGTGTTATGGAACTGTATCAGCCTAGTGCTGTTGTTCTACAGTGCGGAGCTGATTCTCTCTCAGGAGATAGATTAGGTTGCTTCAACCTTACTCTCAAGGGTCACGCCAAGTGTGTTGAGTTTATGAAGAGGTCGGTACAAAAATGTGTTATGGTCATTATTTTTTTTGTAAATATTCGAATATTTTAAAATAAAATGAAACAAAATTTTTTCAATATTTTATGTTGTTCAGGTATAAGCTCCCTCTGATGCTGTTGGGTGGAGGAGGATATACAATCCGTAATGTTGCTCGTTGCTGGACCTTCGAAACCTCCGTCGCACTCGACGTCGACATTCCCAATGAGCTGCCGTACAACGACTACTTCGAGTACTTTGGCCCTGACTTCAAACTTCACATCGCTCCGTCAAATATGGCAAATCAGAATACAACAGAGTACGTGGATAAAATCAGGTCGAGGCTTCTGGAAAACCTGCGGATGCTCCCCCATGCCCCTGGAGTCCAGATGGCGGACATACCGGAGGACAGCGTGGACATCAACCAGGACGAGCTGGCTGAGTCCTCCAACCCTGACTCCAGGGTGAATAGTATCATGAAGGACCGGAGAGTTGATGCGGACAATGAGTTTGAGGAAGGAAAATCTGGGAACAGAGACCGCGAGTCACATCGGGATAGTAATGGAGCCGAACCTATGGAGGTTGAGAACGGAAAGACGGAATAGATTTATTCAACCTCAGAATACATCCGTGTAATTCATACACACTCCTAGTTTATTTACATTATTCATATTTCCAGTGTGATGTACACTTTAGAACGTACAGCAGTTCTTCCTGTGTACTGTGCAGTAGGCAATAAAGAATGTGTACTCTACGTACAGTACATCATAACTACGTTATTCTGACCTTTTTTCTACTACTACTTAGGCTTTAGGATACTTGTATCCTATATTACCCATACTGGGGCCTGTACCTGATATGTTGGTTTAAACCAAAAACTAAGTTTTTTTATTCCAGATTCTGAATCTTGGTAGATTTTCCGACATCCTCCCATCATGATCTTTAACCTGTTCTATGAGAAGAATTTTAATTCTTTCAATTTTATTGACATATTTTGATTTTATGAAACAAAAGTAGTATATAAACTAGAAAGTAAAATTACAGCTGAATTTTGTTCGTCTCGTATAAACACTTGTATGTTGTTGTCAAATTTGGTTATTTTTCTTTTTTATTTCTCGAATAAATAATTAATTCAATCGTTTTCTTCAATGCACACTCAGTCTATAAAAATAAAGAATTCAAAGAATTGGAGAGGTGGATGAATTACTTTCCACTGTTTTAAATCCTAAATCGCCGATTCATATCCTCATGAATTTCTAACTTTGAATCGGTGATTCAGGATTTAAACCAGGTGGTAGATAGTTCAGCGACCTGTCAAATTAATCAAATTTTTCGTATACTATACAAAGTACATGTATTTTCTTAAAATGATGGTTCCCTTCAACTATACAAAGTACATGTATTTTCTTAAAATGATGGTTCCCTCCAACTATACAAAGTACATGTATTTTCTTAAAATGATGGCTCCCTTCAACAATACAAAGTACATGTATTTTCTTAAAATGATGGTTCCCTTCAAGTATACAAAGTACATGTATTTTCTTAAAATGATGGCTCCCTTCAACTATACAAAATACATGTTTCTGTTTTTTTTACCCTTTGTTACTAACCACTCGGTACAGTGATAACCAGAAAACTGAGAATTGGAAGACGACATTAAAGCAATGGTACTATGTGGGCCTTTATTTGCTACAGGGTGTCCCAAAAAACATGGGAATTCAGTGACGAATTCGATATCGTCTTTTTAATTAATTCTTTGATTTAGTATAGAGATACCCAAGAAATATATAGACCAGGAACCGCCATATCTAATGCGTCAAATTTGTGTACTGCAGTGGGAGGCGACCAAAACAAAGAATTCAGGGGCAAAACATCAATTATGAGGGGGGGGGGGGGAAATAAAGTATATTGCTATCGTAGACACGAATACTGATTATAAAACGAAAGACTATTTGTTACTTGCGAGTATATGCTTTAAAGACAGGAGAGGGAAATGATAATATCCAAGATTATATTCAAAATGTGAAACTTTATATGGTAAAATTGGGATGTTTTAATAAAAGCAAAAACAATTCCTCACTCCATGGGAATCAATGCAAAGAGGAACTGTAGACATGCGTAACAGGACTGCACAGTGCACACATAATTGTGTCCCACATATAAAAAGATGCATGGCTGATTCACAACGGTACCCTTTAAAAAAAAATTCGGGAAATGCCCATTGAATATTAGTCATTAAGAAATAAAATTCGAGAAAAATGTTATCCATATCATAATATATTTATTCTTATAAACATTTTAACATTCTATTTTAAAGAAAGAAGGAAGAAAACCAGTAAATATAATATCACGCCACCTAACTCAATTGTTGCTTGGAAGTTCAAAAAACTGGCTGGATATGGTTACTTTAGAACTGTACACACCCACTGTACAGATATGAGGGAGCTTAGAAACCAATGCAAGATAGTACGACATATTCTTTCTCTTAAAGGGTTCTCTAAAAGTCAAAATAGTAAAATCGAAAATCAAAGCAACAAAGGAAAAAATATGTTAAACAGTAAAAGGAAAAAATTCCTAACTACAATAAAGTTCAATGAATGTTCGAAAAATTCGTTAAAGGGTCCTCAATATTCAATAAATCTTGATAACTACTATGTTCCCATGGATATTCCAGATAAAAAACTAGAACAGTATATCTTTACTGTTAAGAAAATGAGAAAAACTCTTAATTTTTAAACAATCATAGGTAGAATAGGATTTAGCTTCATAGTTCTTGTGTAACAATTGCAATTTAATTAATTTAATACAATCTTAATAGCTATAAATCATCTTTCATTTACATGTAGCAGGTATGCGGTTGCAGCTGTCAGGGCGGAGCATCATCGAGGGGTTTATAATTGATTTATTTTCATAAATTTTTAAAGGTCTATTTTGGAAAAAATTTTATACTTTTCAATTCAATTTTAAAAGCATCTTCCGCGTACAATTTTATCTTTTTGTTTGTGGGTCCAGTGCTCAAGGGAGCGCTGGACCCATAGACAGTTTGCGCAGTAATAAAAAAAACTGCGCAAACAGTAATTGTGGAGCCAGCGCTCCCTTTTTAGTTGAGAAACTTTGTAATTTACTAATGAACCCCAATGTGTAGGTGCGCTGCTCTGACATCGGCAATCCCTCAGGCTGCAAACATATAATTTTTTTTTTTTTAAAAATTTTCTTCTGAAAGGTCTCCTTATTTTTTTCTATTCCTATAATTAATTCATTTAATCCTATTTCTACTTTGTCTCCATCAAACCTAGGATGATCATTTTAGGTAACCTTAATTGACAAGTCCTTCAGTGGCTTCTTTGGTTTTTTCTTGCCTGATTTATTAGATCCATAATCTACCAGATTCTTAATTCAATATAGAACTGGGATGTATATGTATTGCAGTAACCCGTCCATAGGCTCATGATGAAGAAGTCTTCTAAGGCCAACTACGAAAGTAGAACCTAACCATCCAATTTTAAAACAAGAAGACCGTCAAGCTTTTTAACTACACCATAATTCTAAAACATAAATTTAGCAGTCTGTTTCAGTGTTCTGACATTATTTTTACTTTTATATATACAGGGTAACCCACAAAGGATGAGACTGTAAAGACGACCTGGAACTCAAGAATATAGTATTTTATAGCCTCTTAAATAATTTGTTAAGGGGAGAAAACAAATTTACAGTTGCATGGGAATCCTAAATATAAGGAAACAGACAGACAGTATTAATGCCGTACAGTCGTCGCATTCTTAGTGGGTAACCCTGTATATTATTATTTAAACTGACAATTGTAATACAAGAGAAAATCTTTAATATGTCTAGACAGCAACTACATACAAAATCTTATAATTTGGGACAGTCCCGGGACTTTGGGACTGTCCCAGAAGTTCGTGATTTTAGGATTGTCCCAGAGTTCCGACACCATGGGGTTTTATTTTTTTACAATCTCAGAGACCCTAAAGCCTGGGACAGTCCCAGGATCGCTGGGTCTTTGGCAGAGTACCAGAACCCTGGGACTTTCCCAGATCCCCGGGACAGTCCAAGGCCTTTGGAACTGTCCCAGAGTCCCGACACCATGGGGTTTTATTTTTAGTCAAACTATTTCAAGAAAAATCAAAACTCAAACATGTGTGGGATTCTGGGTTTTTGGGACTGTCCAAAAATCCTGGGACTGTTCCAAAGATCCAGAGTTCTGACACAATGGTTTTTTTACCTTTTCTTAAACTATAAAAAGCTAGTAAAAGAAAAATTAAACTTCAACCATGAGTGAAAATTATCTCCAGGGATGATTTAGAAAATTTATATCCTGCTAAGTTATGTCTGTTTTTCTGGCTGTTTGTTTGTCCGATCGTAACTCAGGAACCCCTGGACAGATTTGCCTCAAATCATGATTTGAGAACTTGGGAGACCCACAGAAATGTTCTTAGTCTAGTTTTGAGATTCTAAATTGAGTGGGTCTACTTTAATAGTGAACATTTAGTTTCCCGGTAAAATCGTTCAAATGCGGGTAAACGGCTGGAGAAACTTTTAGTAACCTTGGCAGCGCTGTGTTCACAAGCTAGTATATGATATTGTAATAGTGTTATTTCGGTCTAAACAAGGAACAGTCCTAAGACGTTGGGACTGTCCCACAGACCGTAAGGTTTCTTTCTCAATCTCAGAGGCCCAAAAGCCTGGGACAGTCTCAGAACTTTGGGACTGTCCCGGAAGCCCTCGAAGTTTCGGGACGTTGGTACTGTCCCAAAGAACCAGAGTCCCAACATCATGGAGGTTATTTTTCAATCTCAGAGACCCAAAAGCCTGGGACAGTCTCAAGACTGTTCCAGAAGCCTAGGACGTTGGGACTGTCCCAAAGTCCCAACACCATGGGGAGTATTTTTTAATCTCAGAGACCCAAAAGTCTGGAACAGTCCCAGGACTTTGGAACTGTCCCAGATGCCCGGGACAGTCCCAAAGTTTTGACACTTGCTGTCGCCCCTTCACTATGGTTTCATGTTAATTACATGTAAACGGCATAACTAGAGTAATGCTTTGATATAATATAGATAGTTAGAATTAGTATTGAAATTTTAAATTCTTTATTATATAGGTATAACGACTTAAATAGCAGTACAAGATTTATTCGAAAGAAAGTTTTTATTAATAACAGCAATAAGTTCTTTATTTAATCTAAAACTGAAAGAATTCTGAATAAATGTTTTACAGTCATCTCTGAAGTCACATTCTGGTTGACCTTGTATATGGGTAACTCTGAAGTCTGAAGATAGATTAGTTATAATAGCATATTTAGAGCCATTATAACAGATCCGTATTATTCGCTGCACAACATGCATAGAAAGTTGCATTTGTAAATAAAAGTTCAAGTTTTTTTCGTCATAATAATAAATTTTTATAGCTCTACTTCAACTTTTGACATAAATTCCAACTTTTGCAAGATTTGCTTTTATACTTCAGCAACGGAAACAAGAGGTCATGGGGGGGGGGGGGTTAATTTACATATGTTTCAGGGATTTTTGCGAAAATCGATGACAAAAATCGGATATATCTTATATGTTGTCATTTCTTACAAAAGAATATACGTACTCAAAAAACATACAAGTTTATATAAGTGAAACAAATTATAATTACTTAAGATAAATATTCTCTTTATCATACTGCTTCTGGTATCTGTAATATTTGTATGCATTATCCAGCTTGTATAATTACTATAATAGGACTTGTGGAGACTAGGTTGCAATAATAAGAAATGCCGCAATGCCGGAGAATTGGAACTAAATCCTCCTAGATATAGAAGGGGGAGGTTTTGTTGTGGGTTCAGGAGATGGAATGGGATTTAAGATAAAAAGGATAAGGCTTGGTTCAGAAGAAGAATACTTTTGGGTTCTGGAAAATGAGGGGATAGGTTTGGCTTTTATAGGTTCAGAAGAGGATGGTTTCGTTGCTCTTGGTTTGGTGTTTAGAGTGGAGAAAGGAGATTTGTTTTTTTTTGGTGGGGGTTTAGAAGAGAAGGGAAAGTTTGAGTAAATGAGAATTGTCGAGGTGAAGGTTTGGGTTCAGGAGAGGAAGGGTTTAGTTGCTCTGGGTTCAGGAGAGGAAGGATTTAGTTGCTCTAGGTTCAGGAGAGGAAGGGTTTAGTTGCCCTGGGTTCAGGAGAGGAAGGGTTTAGTTGCTCTGGGTTCAGGAGAGGAAGGTTTTAGTTGCTCTGGGTTCAGGAGAGGAAGTGTTTGGTTGCTCTGGGTTCAGGTGAGGAGAGGGGTTGGATTGATTGCATTTAGAAGAAACGATCACCAAAGAACCACAATGTTAAAATATATGAACTATGAATTAAGTATAGTGAGTTTATTTATTAAGTATAGTGAGTATATTTATTAAGTATAAAAAAATTAAGATTTTGCCACAAACTCTGATTTTCTAACATCTTTATCTTTGCAACCTGATGTCTTAGACCTTTGATAAACTTCGAATTCTGTTAGATCAATAAATATTGAAGGTTTACACCATCAGGTTGCAAAGATTTAGGAATTAGAACATTTGAGGTTGTGGCAAAAACTTTTAATGTTTTAATTCTGTCAGTTATTTTCATTTGTGTTTCAATATTTTTACTCTCACTATCTTTTCCTCTCCAAATCTTTTTAATTCTATAAGAAAAGTTCGATCAATTGAGCAAATTTATTCAGATTTTTTATCTCATTTTACATTCCATCATTGATCACCCATAATGTTTAAAATGATTTTAAAGTCGAAATATTTAAATTCCATCTTGTTTGTCAGTTTACTTTATCATTGTGAAAATATCGAAATATCGTCTCTTTTGTATTTCTTATTTTTTGTTCTGTTTTTGTTTACGTAAACATATATATCTATATAGAAAAGCTAAAGATGGATTTAGAATATATCCATCTAAAGAAATGAACCCTATAATCCCTAAATATTACTGAAAAGCTTGAATCCTCTGCAATGTTTTGCTCAATTTAATTACGTTATAATCTTTAATAAAGTTTTTACCATTAAAGGGAGTGACCGGCAATGTATGGTGGTTGAACTGAGATAGCAGTATTGAAGAGAAATTTTTTAGTATTCATTTCAGACATATAATTACTGAGTTTGAGGCAAAAGTCGACGTTCAAAATCATTACGCTTAGAGAATCGTTTTTTTTAGATTATTAAAAAACGACGAAAAAAATGTAAAAAAAATTCTACAATAAACTAATTATAGTTGTTTAAGAACAGGTTGAGAAAATAAAAATCAACTCTTATCATCAAAAACTGTAAACTCTCATTATTTACAAAGATTTTCTGTAGATTTTCTAAAAAAAATTATTGAAAAGACGATATTTGAAGAATTTGCAGAAATCTGCGAACAAATTCATAAAAGTAATTCAATATAATGATGTAAAAGAAATAATTGATTCTAACATTGATTTATTGACAAATATGTTCCTAAACGTCTAATTAGTTTACTGTAGAATTTTACTTTATTTTTTGTCGTTGTTATTTAATAATTAAAAAAAAAATTCCCAAAACTTACCCTTCCAAATTGATCATTTTGAACGTCGACTTTGCACTCAAACTCAGTAATTATAGATCTTTAAAATGTTTTATATGTCTCAAATAAATCCTAGAAAATGTCTCTACAATACTGCAATCTCAGTTCAACCACCACACATTGCCGGTCACTTCCTTTAAGGGGGTTATCATAATTTGATATTATTCTTCACATTTGTAGTTTTAAATGACCCTCCATTTAAATAGGGGCATGTCGGATTTCACAGTGGTACCCTGAAAACCTTGATCTGATTAATAATGAAGAAGATAACGACTGTGGTCAAAACAAGAGGAATCCATGCACAAAATTGAAAAAGGTTAAATATCGCGTATACCGTTCTAGTTTGTTTAAAACGGAGTACGGATAATATTTATAAGAAAGTTTTACCTGTTATTCATTTTGTTCTGAAGTCAAGAAAATGTTCCTCCTAACAAAACTTCTGCCAAATTTTCTCAGAAAAAAAAGTTAAAGGGCGCCGCTGTAAATAGGTTGAAAATCACTTTAATTTATTAAAATTTCAATGATTTTAGGTTTATATACAGTTTAAGCAAGAACTTCGAAGCCATCGTAAGAATTTATAAAATGTGGTTTTCTGAACCTATACTGGTAATGGAATACTGGGGATAGTTAGTTTTTAATTGAATAAATATATGGAGCTCTTTAAAACTGTTCCTGCATATTTTATAGGTATAAGTTATTTTTCGATTACTGAGATTTTAGTATAATAATTATAACCCATATAAAAAAATTGTCAAGACGACATTTGGTAAATTCTTTTGATGTCTCCTTAGTATTGGGTTAAATTGCATCGGAAAGAACATTTGCCACAAACTAATTTTCCTATTCCTGGTTTTTTGAAAGTTGCACCCTGATTGTAAAAGCTTTGGTTATTAGATATAACAGAATTTAAAACAATATAGGCCTTCGACATTAGGTTACAAAAATATAAGGACAATGAAATTAGAGTTTATGGCAAGTGTTCAGTTTCGTTCAGAAGCAAAACAAACTTTTGTTATATTCAGTGTTATGAATCTATGATTATAAATGACCCAGAACCACGAAACATTAAAAAATGTAAACAACTGAAGGAAGGGTTCCTGAAATAACTTATCATCATTATAACAGTTATTTATTTATGAATTAACAAGAACAATATTAATTAATTACGAAACTGTAATTTACAGTAAATATTCAGTAGAATATAAAGAACAAAGGAACTTATCTAAAAAAATGTCTGTTACGAAAATAATTTGATTGACAATCATAATTTCTTTTCTTGAAGAGTAAAAATGTTTTAATTTCTAGTATATGTGACTGGATAAATTTTCTTTTACTTGTGCGGAGCCCATACAAAACATATCATCGCTAAACTTATCACCACAAAAAATATCAAAACATATCTTTTCAGTGACAAAACTTATCAACTACAAAACTTATCAAACTACAAAACGTATCAAACTCAAAACTTATAAACAAAATTCATGAATCTAAAATTTCAAATCAATAAAATGTTCCAAAAATTGTTTAAAAACCCTATTCTAAGCCAAGTTTCAGTTGTACAACGTTTAAAAATGTTTTAAAAAATAAATTTTGTAGTTATTTTAGTAAGTTTTGAGTTTGATATGTTTTTTAGGTTGATATTTTTTGTTTTTATACGTTTTGTAGTTTAATAAGTTTTGTGAGGATAAGTTTTGTTTTGATAAGTTTTGTAGTTTGATAAGTTTTGTTTTGATAAGTTTTGTTGTTAGATAAGTTTTGTTTTGGTAAGTTTTGAAAAGATATGTTTTGCGGTGATAAGTTTTGTGGTGATACGTTTTGTGACGATACGTTTTGTAAGTGCTCCTACTTGTGCGCAAGGATGTAAGGCAAGGAAGTCATTTCAGAAGTGTACACATCTTTAGTACTGCAGTGTACTGTCTCTGGGCGCTAATGTAAAAACAAGACGGATGTCGAAGCTTGACATGGGATCTATCATTCACATAAAAAATCAATGAAATATTCTGGTCATAGGAAACTATTATGTGAATTATCAAAATTATCAATATTTAATGCTTTTATCCTCCTCGGATACTAAACGAACACTGATGCATCTATTATTGTTTACAAATTCCGCTCAGAGAGAACTGGTTTCAATATGTACACAGAGTATACACAACCGCAATTGACTTTCCTTGCATTACATTCTTGCTTGTGCGTACAATCAAAACTAGAGGAGCTACGTGGTCACAAAGTTGTAACAGTAATTTCGCATAAATTTGTCCTTCTTTCTCCGGATAATTCAGCGTGAGTTGGCGATTTTTATCAATGAGAGTGTACTGAATCATAAAAAATTAGAACTTGAAATTTAATTTAAAAATAAGTTTTATAGAAAATTATATTATTAGCAGAGGCCTCGCCATGCAAATCTAAGATTTAGAAGAAAAATGGTTTATATTAATTAATCCTTTAAATAATGTTAAAATGTACACGCTATAATAACCCCCTTCAGCTTTAGTTCTTTATCTATAATGAGATTGAAACAATTTTAAGTTTTAAATATTTTCAATATTATTGATTATGTGATTAATGTCTGGAAACTAGCATGAGGTTTTCTTAATCTGTATTAAAATATTAGTGGAGAAAAGAATATCCTCCTCCGTCCCAACCTCTAGGGTAGCAGCTGCAGGAGCTGTATTCTGGATCTTCTTAACTCCGACAGTGCACCTGTTCTCACGGAACGGTTTGAACAGGATCCGTCCGCTCTGAGAAACCCTGCCAAGGTTCCCTTTAATCTTTAACTCAAGCTCAGATTTCTCCCTGATAATTAGATCTGAACTGGTTGTGATCAGCTTAAATCCTTCCTGGCTCTCCAGACAGTTATCGTTTACTCTCTCTCCATGTGTTGAAACTAGGACCCGAAGCTCTGCATCCGCTCCATCCGTCCTATCCTCGGAGAAATGTGCGTCCTCTTCTCTCCAGTAAACGGATATCCGAGCCAGGTATGGAACTCGGGATAAAGATCTAGTAAAAGGATCAGGTGTTATTTTAATCTTTTATGTCAAGGTTTTGTAACAAGATAGTATTCAAACATTTATTTCGCATCTACACATGAATATTAAAGTCTATTTAAATCTATTTGAAAAAATATCAGTCTTATATTAAGCAAAATGATGAAGATTTTTTTTCTATCTTAATATTGATAATTTTCATTTGTGATTTTTCTCAATGAGTGAATTACGGATTTAAATGTTATTTAAACATTTTATTATAATAGAAAAAGACGATATCTTACTCATCGTTACTCATGGTTTAAGGGTACCATTGTTTATCGGGCATGTAACTCATTTCAAATTCCGTTAACAGTTCCTTTAATATTCTACTTTAATGTGACTAATATATATATTCTCAGATCTTATTTGTTGTGATTAGAAATCTAAGTTCTAACCTGAAGAGTTTATCAAGCATTGAGATAGAGTCTGTTACCATCCAGGTTGGTAGATTGACCAGCCAGAAAGCAGCAGATACAACAGTATTAAATTGTACAGTTCCTTGATGGTAGGTGAGGGGGGTAGATAAGGTTACATCCTCCCAGACTGCTCTACTACCACAATCAGACATAGAGCACAGCAGCTAAATATAGATAATAGTTATATACTGAACATGTTACATAGTTTTATACTAAACAGTGAACAATGTTACAACGTTATATACTGAACATGCTACATAGTTTTATACTGAACAATGAACATGTTACATAGTTATATACTGAACATGTTACAAAGTTTTACTCTGAACAATGAACATGTTACTAAGTTATAAACTGAACAATAAACATGTTACATAGTTATATACTGAACATGTTACATATTTATATACTGAACCATGAACATGTTACTTAGTGATATACTGAACAATAAACATGTTACATAGTTATATGCTAAACATGTTACACAGATATATATACTGAACTATGAACACTTGACTAAATATATACTGAACAATAAACATGTTGCATAGTTATATACAGAGCAATGAACATTGAACATATTGCATGAGTAGAGAAGATAAACTAAGCATGAGTGGAGAAGATAAACTAAATTTAAACATGAGTAGAGAAGATAAACTGAACATGAGTAGAGAAGATAAGCTAAGCATGAGTGGAGAAGATAAACTATGCATGAGTAGAGAAGATAAACTGAACATGAGTAGAGAAAATAAACTGAACGAGTGGAGAAGATAAACTAAACATGAGTAGAGAAGATAAACTAAACATGAGTAGAGAAGATAAACTAAACATGAGTAGCGTAGATAAACTAAACATGAGTAAAGAAGATAAACTTAACATGAGTGGAGAAGATAAACTAAACATGAGTAGAGAAGATAAACTGAACATAAGTAGAGAAGATAAACTAAACACTAAACATGAGTGGAGAAGATAAACTAAAAACTAAACATGAGTGGAGAAAATAAACAGAACATTAGTAGAGAAGATAAAATAAACACTAAACATGAGTGTAGAAGATAAACTAAACATGAGTAGAGAAGATAAACTGAACATGAGTAGAAAAGATAAACTAAACATGAGTAGAGAAAATAAACTGGACATGAGTAGAGAAGATAAACTGAACATGAGTAGAGAAGATAAACTAAACATGAGTAGAGAAGATAAACTGAACATGAGTAGAGAAGATAAACTGAACATGAGTAGAGAAGATAAACTGAACATTGGAGGAGAAGATAAACTAAACATGAGTAGAGAAAATAAACGGAACATGAGTAGAGAAGATAAACTGAACATGAGTAGAGAAGATAAACTGAACATGAGCAGAGAAGATAAACTGAACATTGGAGGAGAAGATAAACTAAACATGCGTAGAGAAGATAAACTTAACATGAGTAGAGAAGATAAACTGAACATGAGTAGAGAAGATAAACTGAACATGAGTAGAGAAGATAAACTGAACATAAGAAGAGAAGATAAACTAAATGTGTAGAGAAGATGAACTAAACATGAGTAGAGAAGATAAACTGAACATTGGAGGAGAAGATGAACTAAACATGAGTAGAGAAGATAAACTTCACATGAGTAGAGAAGATAATATGAGAAGGAATAAAATAAATTCCAATTGTTTTCAGTTTTTTATTCCCATCATTTCCTTTCAATCCCGGGTTACCCAACCTTGCTCCGATTTTAGATTAGGATTGGCAAATGATATTCAATTATTCAAACTCATTCATAGGATATAACAAAGAAAATAGTAAATGATCAATATTACAAAGATTTGTTTTATATCTTGGAAACTCTTTATGAGAGTCAACCTATTCATCTTTATGAGAGTCAACCTATTCATCTTAGAGTCAACCTATTCATCTTTATAAGAGTCAACCTGTTCATCTTTATAAGAGTCAACCTGTTCATCTTTATGAGAGTCAACCTATTCATCTTTATAAGAGTCAACCTGTTCATCTTTATAAGAGTCAACCTGTTCATCTTTATGAGAGTCAACCTGTTCATCTTAATGATAGTCAACCTATTCATCTTTATGAGAGTCAACCTGTTCATCTTTATGAGAGTCAACCTATTCATCTTTATGAGAGTCAACCTATTCATCTTTATGAGAGTCAACCTATTCCTCTTTATAAGAGTCAATCTATTCATCATTATGATATTCAACCTGTTCATCTTTATAAGAGTCAATCTATTCATCTTTATAAGAGTCAATCTATTCATCATTATGATAGTCAATCTATTCATCTTTATAAGAGTCAATCTATTCATCATAGAACTTTTGAACCAAACTAAGAACATTCCCGTGGTTCCCTAATCAAAATTTGAGGCGAATATAAAATTAACTATATATAGATATATAGATGATCCATACATTATGGGTAAAGCTAACTGTAAATCTTAGCTTTATATGAACTCAAGGACGTATAATAGCATTCTCAGTATCAAACGTACGTCCAGTCCAATGGAATTGATTACTCGCCTTAATGATATTATGAGCCTTAGATCTTTACAATCTGATGTCGCAGAACTTTGATAATTCAAACTATGAACTCTGTTAGACCAATAGTCAAACTGTTTAGATATCACAGCTTAACGCCATGTTGCAAAGATATATAAATTAGAAATTAATAGTTTGAGGCAAGTAATCAATTCCATTAGGCACCGAGCCTGTTTGATTTCCATGGTTGCACTGCAATAAGGACAAAATAACATAGACTGGCGGCAATATTGGACCTAAAGTGATTCAAAATAACATAGACTGCCGGCAATATTGGATCTAAAGTGATTCAAAATCACATAGAATGGTGGCAATATTGGACCTAAAGTGATTCAAAATAACATAGACTGCCGGCAATATTGGACCTAAAGTGATTCAAAATGCAACGATACAAAAATATCCATATGTAAATTGTGTAATTTATATAAACATGCATTGAAAATAAGTAAAAAGACATATCATAGAAAATGGTTGGAGTCAATTAGTTCAATCTTTATATGAATTCTCGTGTTGTGTGTCGTCATAATAATACATCCATAGATAAAGATAGATTGCGCATCAGACGACATTTTTCATCTTGAAAGATATAACTGTACAGAGGTGTTTTAAAGATATTCCTATTATATAGATAAACTAGGTCGGTTTTGAACATTGGCTGTTCTTATGTCATTGAGTACTTGTGGTGTACATGAGTTCTGTAGAGAGAAATTTCAGTTAGTTTAGTCCTTCTCATGTCCTTCTTCAGTTCTCGTCAATATGATATATTGCTCAGTGAAATATTGTTGTTCAAATAGTTCCATTCCCGGAGTTATTTTACACTCTATTATGAAATCCATTAAACACCAAACCACCCCGCTTATCATTGAAGTACACTTTGACCCCTAGAAGTATGAGTTCGCGGACTGTAAAATTCTTGGTGATTTTGCGTACATAAGCTATCTATGTTTCTTCATTTATCTATGAATACATCCCGTTTAAAAACCGCGAGCACTCCCATTTTTATTCCAACATTACTCCTTAACAGACAAACTCTGCATAACCAGGATCGGCATTGATGAGAAAATGTTATAAACTTTCTTAAATAGAAAACTATTTCAGCTTTTTCCAAACAAAACATTCATTTGCTTTAAGAAATTAATGGAAGGGAATCAACTGTAAAAATATTAACGTAAAAAAAAGAAAAACAGAAATGACAGAATGTAGCTTAAATAGAGATGGCGGGGGGGGGGGGGGGTTATAAATGGAGTTTAGATGTTGTAATTATGTAAATAAACCGCTATAAAGGATTGTATAAATATGCTGTACAACATCCAGAAAGTTCTTTATCATTATAATCATGAATTCAGATGATGACATCTTTAAAACGTTAAAAATTACGTTTTTTGTTTATATTTATACACGTTAGGATGATGAAGAAACAAGTTGAAGATTGAGATTTTGCAAATTTAATTACGCAAATAACTTTAAGATATTAAAGGGACTGTATGTAATTTCAAGTGAACCTCCATTTATTAATGGGCATGTTCGATTCAAAACAGTTCCCTTTAAACCTTCATCTGAGCAAAAATGATGAAGCTTCTATCCTTTTTTTCTAATATACTTCATAATCTTCTTCTGTTCTAAAAATATGACTTGCAGATTTTTGTTGACGAAGACAAAGACGAAAACCTAACAGTATTTATCACTTTTCCAGTTGAAACACGACGATATCTCCTCGTTGTTTCTCAGAATTGTACATGCAACTCATTAAATTACGTCAACATTGCCTTTAAATACAATTTTGATATACAGGGTGTCCCACATCAAATTAGACCGCGTCAATGGGTCTAAATTACGATTTGGTACAAGTAGATTTATTATATTTTCAAATACTTGTATTCATGTATATATATATTATTTGTCAAGGTTGCAGAATTATTAGAACTTAAATAATGATGTTTAGACTAAACACAACTTGAATTTTATTAATTTCTAATTTACTTTAAACTTGTTTCTCCTTCATGTGAAACAGCTCAGCATGTTTTTAATCCCACCACCCCTAAAGCACCTCCCCTATTTATTTTAACAAACACTAGCTACAGGGCCCGGCGTTGCCCGTAGAAAAAAAAATTTGAAAAAAAAGTTTTTAAAAATTAAAAAAAATTTTTTTTTTTTAAATATTTTTTTAAAAATTCGATTTTTTGGCCTATAACACCCCCCGGCCACCCAGGAGTGTCCACAAAAAATTTAAGCCCAATCGGTCCAGTCATTTGGCTGGCTATAGGCAACATATATACACGAATGATGTCTCGTTTTATTGTATAGACTTCTTTGTATTTAGTTATGAAAAGAAAAATCGACCAGCTGTATGTTTTAAAAAATTTGTTTTTCTGATCGTGTTATGTATTAAAGAATATTTTTTCCCAATCTTAAAAATACATGCATATAAGAACCCGTTCTTGTAAAAACCCATTGGTTGCAAAAATTTAGCAAGATTTGCATTAGTCCACTTCCTCCCTTCCCCTTCCTCTCCTCATCTTTTCTGGCTTTTTCCCCATCTCACTTTCCTCCTGTTTCTACTTAATATTTAACTTATTTAGTTAAATATTGAGATAATTTAGAAGGTTTATCTTAATATATCCCCTGAGTAAGTAGATGCTCTGTAGATTAATACTTTCAAGCTCTCCTGGAGCAGATTAGGATACGGGGATAAAACAGTACCTGGGTAGGGTCCAGAGTGAAGAAGTATTAGGGTAGGGTGTAGAGTACAGAAGTATCAAGGTAGGGTAGAGAGTAGAGAATGTAGGGTGTAGAGTACAGAAGGATTAGGGTAGGGTGTAGAGTACAGGAGTATCAGGGTAGGGTGTAGAGTACAGAATGTAGGGTGTAGAGTATAGAAGGATTAGGGTATGGTGGAGAGTACAAAAAGATCAGGGTAGGGTGGAGAGTACAGGAGTATCAGGGTAGGATGGAGAGTACAGAATGTAGGGTGTAGAGTACAGAATAATTAGGGTATGGTGGAGAGTACAGAATGATCAGGGTAGAGTGGAGAGCACAAGAGTATCAGTGTAGGGTGAAGAGAACAGGAGGATCTGTGTAAAGTTTTAAATTGCAGGAGGATTATGAGATATTATACTCAATAAAGGATAAAAGAAAATGAATGAATTTAATATTGGTTTAGATATTAATCTTACCAGTAACGACATTTCTATGGGAGCTCGCCCTCTGTCTTCTCCCGTTTTCTCAATCTATTAATATGTATATCAATAAAGAATAATTCAGTTTCCCTAGTTTTTATACTACCTGGAGATTAAAGTCTCCCGAGCTCAGATATTACTTGAAGAGTATATATTGAGATACTACCTGTAGAGTATATAGTCTCCCAAGTTGAGATACTACCTAGAGAGTATACAGTCTCCCTAGTTCAGATACTACCTAGAGAGTATAGTATCTCTAGTTCAGATACTACCTGGAGAGTATAAAGTCTCTCTAGTTCAGATACTACCTGGAGAGTATATAATCTCCTTCTAGTTCAGATACTACCTGGAGAGTATAAAGTCTCTCTAGTTCAGATACTACCTGGAGAGTATATAATCTCCTTTGTTCAGATACTACCTGGAGAGTATACAGTCTCCCTAGTTCAGATACTACCAAGAGAGTATAGTATCCCAAGTTCAGATATTACCTGGAGAGTATAGCATCCCTAGTTCAGATACTACATGGAGAGTATATGTTCTCCCTAGTTCAGATACTACCTGGAGAGTATATATTCTCCCTAGTTCAGATATCACCTGGAGAGTATAAAGTCATACTAATTCAGATACTACACCTGGAGAGTGTATAGTCTACCTAGTTCAGATACTACACCTGAAGAGTGTATAGTCTCCCTAGTTTAGATACTACCTGGAGAATATAAAGTCTCCCTAGTTTAGATATTACCTGGAGAGGTTGAGGTATTGGGAGAGTGACGGTTACCGCCTTGTGAAATTTCCTCCTCCTAAAGGTTGTAACATAACCATCAAATTAAAAACTATAAAACAAGTTGTAAAAACACCAAAAGTTGCCAAGTTTATTTGATTATATTTCCCTGGGTTCGATGGTAATAACTGGAGACACAGCTCCGCCCTGAACTGATAGATCGGAGAGTAAGGACGGACGAGCAGCGCTAACACTGATCCCGATACAGACAGGTTTGGTAAGAGCCTTGGCAGGGAAGAAACATTGTAAACCCGGAGCAAGGTTTGAAGTTGCCAGGCCTCCTTCCGGACCCAGGTTGAAAGTCTGGTGTCTAGGGCGGGATATTAGAGCAAAGTACTGAGGTAAACTATTTGTTATAATCTGGATCTTCTGCTCCAGTTTCTTGTTAATACTCACATTATTAATACTTGAGCTGAGGAATTGGTTTAGTGAGTTATCAGGTTTAATGTTTGTATGCAAACTCCATTTTTTTCCAGAATCGCATCTTAATATAACAACCTCACGTTCTGCTGACTCCTGGGTAGAATGATTAATCTCCACAAGGACGGGAGAGAGAAAGGATGCCGGAGTAAGCTGTAGGATTCGGGTTGCCAAACCTTCTCCGTCACTGAGAGGAGGAGGATGAAGGACGGATTCTACTCTGAGTTGACGACATGTGACCCTGACAGGCTGTTCTGCAGCTCTAGGTGGGATTGCAATCCTGAGTCCTGTACTCCGACTCCCAGTCATTGATCCGCCCCGAGCATCAACCAAGAAGCTGACAAGGAATTCTGCTTTAGTTGGTTTGTTCTCTCCTTCTCCTCCCCCTCCTCCTCCCCTTTCTAAACTTTCAGATCTTCTTGTCATACCTCCAGATGCTCCGATCCCACACTCTCTATTTCTCACACACCCTGGAGACAAATTGTTCTATAATATTATTCAGCTGATTGTTTAGAATATTCTTATTTCTAGTTTAAAATATATATATTTTCAGAGCCTGAATCCCCCCCCCGCTCTGTATGACACTAAACCTTTAGCTTTAAACTTGAGCAACAACGAAGCTTATTACACTTCAGCTTTCTGCATAATTTCAGCCTAAACTTTACTTTTTACTATCATCCTCGCAAGTTTGATATTATAGTTAAACTAGAAATGTTGGACGCTTCACACCAATTTTACTGATCTCGGTGAGTTAAAGAAAAATAATTAAAATTAACACTAAATCTGAAAAAAAAAAATAACAAATAAAGTTAAACCTACAAAACTGGAAAAGGCTGTCAAAACTCAAAATAATTAAAAATGACTGAAGCGAACTAAAAAAGAACTTTTAAATTTTTTTTTGGCGTGCAAAACTAATTTGACAGAAGAAGATTGAATAAAAAATGCGAGAAACCCGTCAAATGACGCATTATAAAGATTCAATTAGTAAATTGGAGGAGACAGCATACAATCCTTAGGTTATAGGAATAAACCTCAATCTAGGAATTGTTGTTTTCTTTTGTAAAAAAAAAAAATATATAATATACATATAACAACAAAGTATACAGTTCGCATACATTTGTGTGCACATTTATGTTACCTAAAGCGCCAATGAGAATTTAAAATTTACAAGTTCTTCAGGTTTTCTCCTAACACCATTTTTCAATTTCAACAAGCTTTTTTGTTTATCCTAATTACGTGTTTATACAATATCTTTTAGATTATTTCCTATTTTGTTTAAGGTGCAATGGAATATTTAGAAAGATACCATTTATCTGGGAAAATTGTCAATTCTGGCAGCCAGAGGGAGACCCATTCCTTGTTATCTTTTCTCAGACATTTAATAGTTGCTCTATACTAAATATTCAAGGTTAAAGTGGACCCATCTTCCCCTTACTCTTCTGCAGGTACCTGAACACACACACACTACAGGTACCTGAATACACACACACAACAGGTACCTGAATACACACACACTCCAGGTACCTGAACACACACACACTCCAGGTACCTAAACACACAAACATTCCAGGTACCTGAACGCTCACACACTCCAGGTACCTTAACACACACAAACTCCAGGTATCTGAACACACCCACACACTCCNAGGGATTCCGTATCTCCAGGTACCTGAACGCACACACACACTCCAGGTACCTGAACACACACACACACTCTCCAGGAACCTGAACACACCCACTCCAGGAACCTGAACACACTCACTCTCCAGGTACCTGAACACACAAGCTCTTCCGGTACCTGAACACACCCACTCCAGGTACCTGAACTCATACACTCTCCAGGTACCTGAACACACCCACTCCAGGTACCTGAACACACACTCTCCGGAACCTAAACACACACACTTTCCAGGTACTTGAACACACCCACTCCAGGTACCAGTCACACCCACTCCAAGTACCTGAACACACACACACACTTCAGGTACCTACCGATGAAACCAGGAGATTAAACCCAGAAATTAAACCTGAAGATTAAGCTTATAGATTAAACCTGGGGATTAAACTTATAGATTAAACCTGGGGATTAAACTTATAGATTAAACCTGGAGATTAAACTTATAGATTAAACCTGGAGATTAAACTTATAGATTAAACCTGGAAATTAAACTTATAGATTAAACCTGGGGATTAAACTTAGAAATTAAACCTTCGGATTCAACTTATAGATTAATGAACCCTGAGACTAAACTGTAGACTTTTACCTGTAGAAAACAAACACCTGGAGATTAAAACTGGAGAGTGAACAATTTAATATGATCTCAGTTTAATATTTATTAGTTTATTTACATTCTGCTTCTCTTAAATAAACACCTTTTCCAATGATATATAAAGTAAGAGATTTTGGAAAATTTATTTCTCTATTTTTGGCCTAGTTCGCCGACTTTGAAAAACAAACAGTTTTGAGAGTCACGGGGTCCCGAGTATGAAGGGGGGGGGAGGGTTGAGAGGGAGAGGGCTGGGGTTCACAAGTGTACTATGGACACATATGTATTTATAAATAACTATCTTACTATTTCAAAATTAAAGCGTAATTATTCCCAGGTAGCGAAGGATGAGCGGGATAGTTTAGGTCAGGTTCAAGACACGGGTCAACTTACAGAAAATTCAAAAAAGTCAATTTCAAACTTTCAAAAACACTTTTCAAAAAAATCGGGGGGGGGGGTAACTCAATAATCCGGTGTAAGGTTTGAAAAATTTAATAATATTCACCTGTGTATTTTGATAAATAATCCAATAATTAGGTATTCTATTAAAACTGTGTTTACTCTGCACACCGAAGTAATCCTACTGCTCCGATCCTGGCTTCAGAGAAACTAAACTTATTTTCTAGTCTCCGATTCCTTTCCCTTCATTTGGGGCGGAACCCTCTATCATAGAAATCCTCTGCCTACAAAACTGTATCATAGTAATCCTGTTTCCTACAAACCTGTTTCATAGTAATCCTGTTTCCTACAAACCTGTATCATAGTAATCCTGTTTCCTACAAACCTGTAGCATAGTAATCCTGTTTCCTACAAACCTTTATCATAGTAATCCTGTTTCTTACAAACCTGTATCATAGTAATCCTGTTTCCTACAAACCTGTAGCATAGTAATCCTGTTTCCTACAAACCTTTATCATAGTAATCCTGTTTCTTACAAACCTGTATCATAGTAATCCTGTTTCCTACAAACCTGTATCATAGTAATCCTGTTTCCTACAAACCTGTATCATAGTAATCCTGTTTCCTACAAACCTGTATAGTAATCCTGTTTCCTATAAACCTGTATCATAGTAATCCTGTTTCCTACAAACCTTGCATCCTAGAAACCGTGTATCCTAGAAACCTTGTATCCTACAAACTGTGTATTCTAGAAACCTTGTATCCTAGAAACCGTGTGTCCTAGAAACCTTGTATCCTTTAAACAGTGTATCCTAGAAACCTGATATCTTAGAAACAGAAACCGTGAATCCTAGAAACCCTGTATCAAAGAAATCCTCTTCCTTTCAACCTGTTTCATAGAAACCCTGTATCCTACAAACCTTGTATCCTAGAAACCATTTGTATCTTAGAAACCTTGTATCCTAGAAATCCTGTGTCCTATAAACTTTGTATCCTACAAACCTTGAATCCCGGAAATCCTCTTCCTACAAACATGTAGCATAAAGATCCTGTATCCTACAAACCTTGTATCCTAGAAACCTTGTATTATAAAACCATGTATCCTAGAAACCTTGTATCCTGGAAACTGGGTATCCTAGAAAACGGTTATTCTAGAAACTGTTTATCCTAGAAACCTTTATGATAGAATCATTGTATCCTAGAAACCTAGAGACCATGTAATCTAGTAACCTTGTTTCATGAAACCCTGTATTCTTGAACCTAGAGACCATGTAATCTAGTAACCTTGTTTCATAAAACCCTGTATTCTTGAAACTGGAGACCATGTAATCTAGTAACCTTGTTTCATAAAACCCTGTATTCTTGAAACTAGAGACCATGTAATCTAGTAACCTTGTTTCATAAAACCCTGTATTCTTGAAACTGGAGACCATGTAATCTAGTAACCTTGTTCCATAAAACCCTGTATTCTTGAAACTAGAGACCATGTAATCTAGTAACCTTGCTTCATGAAACCCTGTATTTTTGAAACTGAGACCATGTAATCTAGTAACCTTGCTTCATGAAACCCTGTATTTTTGAAACTAGAGACCAAGTAATCTAGTAACCTTGTTTCATAATACCCTGTATTCTTGAAACCCTGGATTCTTGAAACTGAGACCATGTAATCTAGTAACCTTGTTTCATGAAACCCTGTATTCTTGAAACTGAGACCATGTAATCTAGTAACCTTGTTTCATGAAACCCTGTATTCTTGAAACTGGAGACCATGTAATCTAGTAACCTTGTTTCATGCAACCCTGTATTCTTGAAACTGAGACCATGTAATCTGAAAACCTTGTTTCATGAAACCCTGTATTCTTGAAACTGAGACCATGTAATCTAGTAACCTTGTTTCATGAAACCCTGTATTCTTGAAACTGAGACCATGTAATCTAGTAAACTTGTTTCATGAAACCCTGTATTCTTGAAACTGAGACCATGTAATCTAGTAACCTTGTTTCATGAAACCCTGTATTCTTGAAACTAGAGACCATGTAATCTAGTAACCTTTTTTCCTGAAACCCTGTATTCTTGAAACTGAGACCATGTAATCTAGTAACCTTGTTTCATGAAATCCTGTATTCTTGAAACTGGAGACCATGTAATTTAGTAACCTTGTTTCATGAAACCCTGTATTCTTGAAACTAGAGACCATGTAATCTAGTAACCTTGTTTCATGAAACCCTGTATTCTTGAAACTGGAAACCATGTAATCTAGTAACCTTGCTTCATGAAACCCTGTATTTTTGAAACTAGAGACCAAGTAATCTAGTAACCTTGTTTCATGAAACCCTGTATTCTTGAAACTAGAGACCATGTAATCTATTACCTTGTTTCATAATACCCAGTATTCTTGAAACCCTGGATTCTTGAAACTGGAGACCATGTAATCTAGTAACCTTGTTTCATGAAACCCTGGATTCTTGAAACTAGAGACCAAGTAATCTAGTAAACTTGTTTCATAATACCCTGTATTCTTGAAACCCTGGATTCTAGAAACTAAAGACCATGTAATCTAGTAACCTTGTTTCATGAAACCCTGTATTCTTGAACCTTAGATACACAATGGGAATGTATTTATTCTCTACCGATTTGCCTCAAAATTTGATCTAGGAACTCGGTAGAGCCAAAGAACTGAGTATGGTGAATAAGTTGACTAGGTTGACTTGTTATAGGGAAAACTTAGTTGCCAGGCAAAGCTGGGTTGGAATCTAGTATTCAATAAAGCTATTACACTAAAATCTCCATAGAAGGGATTGATTCACTTGATGTACTGTCCTGTTTTATCTTATATTGTCTGTATATGTACTGTATAGTATGCTCTAGCCAAGGATGTAAGGCAAGGAAAGTCATTTCAGAAGTGTACACATCTTTAGTACTGTAGTGTACTGTCTCTGGGCGCTAATGTAAACACAAGACGGATGTCGAAGCCTGACATGGGATCCATCATTCACATAAAAAATCAATGAAATATTCTGGTCATAGGAAATTATTAAGTGAATTATCAAAATTATCAAAATTTAATGCTTTTAACCTCCTCGGATACTAAACGAACACTGATGGATCTATTATTGTTTACAAATTCCGCCCAGAGAGAACTGGTTTCAATATGTACACAGAGTATACACAACCGCAATTGACTTTCCTTGCCTTACATTCTTGGCTCTAGCTGGTTAAAAGTCAGCCGTGTACTTGAATTGAACCGGAGTTTCCAGTGATATGTACAGTGTACATACTTTTCATGTAAAAAAATTCAGATTTTATGTTGAATAATTCTCTTCTGATACATGTATATATGTATATATAGTAAAATATATGATCAAAATAAACACGTAGTTTTATTGCCTATACAGAGGAAGTTCTTGTATTGGACAATCTTTAATTATCTATCTATCAATAATTTATAAATCTTTTACTTGTACACTGTACATATATGTAAGTTCTATCTTACATAGATCCAGACGTCTATAAAAAGTTACTTCAATTTTCAAGACTAAGCTAGTCGACTTTTTTTTAGGTCTAGACATGTGAATTGTACATTTTTGTATGTCTAGAGACATGTACATTGTACATTTTTGTATGTCTAGACATGTACACTGTACATTTTTGTATGTCTAGACATGTACATTGTACATTTTTATATGTCTAGACATGTACACTGTACATTTTTGTATGTCTAGACATGTACATTGTACATTTTTGTATGTCTAGACATGTAAACTGTACATTTTTGTATGTCTAGACATGTACATTGTACATTTTTATATGTCTTGACATGTACAATGTATATTTTGTATGTCTTGACATGTACAATGTACATTGGATAGCTCTAAAGCAATTCTTTGTCGCCTTTGGATCACTGTGCTCTATGATCTATCTAATTATATGTCTATCTATGATCTAAATATGTATCTATATGTCTATCTATGATCTAACTATCTATCAATCGATGATATATCTATATATCTATCGATGATCAAATATGTAACTATTTAATCTATCTATCTATCTTATATCTATCTATCTATCTATCTATCTATCTATCTATCTATCTATCTATCTATCTATCTATCTATCTATCTATCTATCTATCTATCTATCTATCTATCTATCTATCTATCTATCTATCTATCTATCTATCTATCTATCTATCTATCTATCTATCTATCTATCTATCTATCTATCTATCTATCTATCTATCGATGATCTAAATACGTAACTGTGATCTATCTATCTATCCCGTTATTGCTCTACTAATGGATTATATGCTTGTTGTCACACTTAAGGATGATATAACTCCAGACTCACTCTAACTAAAGATCTAAATAAAGGAGGGAAACTACGTATCCTGGGCAACACAGTGCAAGGGACAAGTATAAAAGCTTTGAATTCCTAACAATAAATTAACAAATAATATTTCATGCAATTAACTTTATGGAAATACAAGTAATATCTACCTCATTTTCTTAAAGCAAATCTTATCGTTTAGAGATATTCTGAGGCATTGAGAATGGAATGGACAATAGATGGATGAAGGATGAATAGGTGAATGAATAGTAGGATGAAGGATGAATAGTAGGATGAAGGATGAATAGAAGGATGAGGATGAATAGAAGGATGAGGATGAATAGAAGGATGAGGATGAATAGTAGGATGAGGATGAATAGAAGGATGAGGATGAATAGAAGGATGAGGATGAATAGAAGAACGATGATGATATATTGAACAAAAGTCTGATGATTTATCTTGACTAAACTCTTTCAACATTTCTAAATCCAAGCTTAACTCCGCTTCTTTGGAACCTACTTTTATAAATCTATAAACTTCTTCATCTATTTGTTGCTAGGTAAACTTTAACCTGGAGGGACTCAAACCAATTTATAGAAATGCAAAAACTGACAATAACGAGATTATTTATTTAGTTTATTCTGTAGTAAAGTAGTGAGTTGAGGAGACAAAAGCATCTTAGTTTACTAAATATTATATTCTTTTGAAGAGATTCCGTAGCTTTTGGAGGGATTCCGTATCTTTTGGAGGGATTCGTATCTTTTGGAGGGATTCCGTATCTTTTGGAGGGATTTATAATATTGTGGAGGGATTCCGTATCTTTTGGAGGGATTCATAATATTGTGGAGGGATTCGATATAGTGAAATTCTATATATCATAGAGAAGATTTCATATCTTGTAAAGAGGTTTCTTATTTGTGGAAGAATTCCATATCTTGTGGAGAGGTTTCTTATTTGTGGAAGAATTCCATATCTTGTGGAGAGGTTTCTTATTTGTGGAAGGATTCCATATCTTGTGGAGGGATTTATTGCTTATGGAGGGATTATTTAGCTTGTAAAGAGATTCCATATCTTATTGCGGGATTCAATGGCTTCTGGAAGGATTCAATTGATTGAGGAGGGATTCCATATCTTTTGGAGGAATTCCATAGCTTGTATAGACATTCATTAGTTTATGGAGGGATTCTTTATCTTTTGGAGGGGTTCCGTATCTTTTGGAGGGATTTATAATCTTATGGAGGGATTCTTTAGCTTGCAAAGGTATTCTTTAGCTTGCAAAGGTATTCTTTAGCTTGCAAAGGTATTCTTTAGCTTGTGGGGGGAGGGGTCTGTGGGATATTTCTAAGAGGGTGGAGATCGGCAATGATGATAAATTTAAGGATATCAATACATTCTTAGAATCATACAGAAAACTCATATCTCGTGATTACATTTCAGTGAAAATTTTGGAATATCACCCGCCATCTTTTTATCCGATCCCACGTGTACAGAGTTATGTTTTCAAATATTTCAAACTTAAATTAAATTAAATCAAAATTAGAGTTATCAGTTACTTTCAAGCTATTCGTTAATCATTAGACTGATAGCTAGCTAAAACAAATCCTTGTCCACCTTTTAACAGAAATTATAGATAATGCAATTCAGAATATAGGTTAAATAATATTCATTGCTCAGTTTAATTCACATGCATCTCTCAATCCTACATTTTAAAATCATTGGAATAAGGGTGAAGTCACGTGTACGAAAGGAACGCAAGATAAAGGTGTAAAGGGTAGGAAAGTAAGAGATGGGGGAAGGGAATAGCTGAATGTCAGCAGATTGTCTGAGATGAAAAGTTCCCCCTGCCTGGGTCAAATTCTTCTTATACCTGGGAACTTTACTATTTCTGTGCTTAGTAAACTGACCTTAGAGAATCCGATGAACTAGGTTTCGGACACAGAAGAACCGACGCATTGTATTTCTGACCTTGGGGGAAATGATTCATTGGTTTTCTGACCCTGGAGAAATCGATCCATTGGGATTTTGACTTTGAGGAACCCGATTAATTGAGGTTCAGACCTTGGAGCCGATTGATAGGTTTTCTGACCCTGGAGAAATTGATCCATTGGGGTTTTGATCCTGGAGAAACCGATCCATTGGGTATCAGACCCTGGAGTAACTGATCCATTTGATTTCACACCTTGGAGAAACCGTTGCATCTTGTTTCCAACCTAGATAACTCCCTACACATTGTGTTCCACCGGGTTACAGACCTTGGTAAAACGGACCAATTCAGGTTCTAACCTCTGAGATACTGATGCATTGGGGTTTTTGATATTGGTAGAAGAACTATTGGAACTCGAACCTACATATTGAGTGGTTTCCATGCTCCATACGCATTTATATCAACGCTACGTAATTAACCTGACCTACCTAGCCTAGCCTAGCCTTCTATATCCAACTTTGATATGATATCTTAATCTAGCGTTTAACCTTTCAAAGATTCAATCCATTTTTAGATGAGACAACAATAGGTATTTTTCAAGATTAGATTATATAATTAATAAACTTCTTCAAGTTTTAAACGTCAGCTGGACATAACTATGAAACAAAGTGAAATAATCTATATTCACTTAAAAAATTTAAAAATCAAATTTCTAAATCTAATATATAAAAATGGGATTGAAAGTAAAGAATTGCTGAACATAATTTCAGAAAACCTGACTCTCCCTGCTCTAATTCCAACGATCGATATGTTGATATAAACCATATTTTGCGTATTTTCTATATCAGAACAATATTAAATGGCCTTTTAATTAAAATAAAAGTATTAAAATAACACAAAGTTTATTGCATAAAAGTAGTATAAAAATAATAAAGATAGCAATCTTTATAATTTTACTTCAATTTACGACATGAAATTTGACTAAATTTTTAATTACTACAACAGCATTATAATTCTTTATGCTTAATATTTCGTTTAAAAAAAAAACGAGAAAAAAATAAGTTAAAATAATTTTGTCAAAAAGTTAAGAATCTGTAAAAATGAAAGGAAAAAATAATAGTTAAACAAAATCATAAATGCAGAGTGCTAATAGTATTTGAGACAAAACTAAAATCTCTCTAAAACTGAATAAGATAAAAGTTTTAACGAAAAATTCGTTTTAGGGCTTTTCTTTGTTTATATTGAATAAAATCGCATGTTTTAGGACAAATTCTCCAGTGAAAGTGAGCGCAAGCGTTCAAGACGTGTGCGCCGGTCATGTTCCTTCGTTTTAATCACCATGGAGGTGATGATGGACACTCTTTGTGTTGTGCAGATGCCTTCTATTCACATCCCTGAGGGCCCAGGACCACGATAAAAGGGTTTCTGTTGTATCCTTAATGATTTTGTTTAAGTCTAAAATCTTAGTTTGTCAGAAGAATTAAATTGGGATTCCTTTCGGGAACTCCAACTCACTGGACTGGATTAAATAAATCAGAGTATTTGGAAAATTTTCAAATTTTTTTTTCATAGATGTTTTTTACTGAAATAGTTTTTTTTCAGAAATAGATGTTATAAATTACCATTAAATAATTAATAGATACTAGGCTTTTAGGGCGCTTCGCGCCCATCTTCTATTTAAATTGTGAACATGTTCTTTTTGTTTTCATTTTAAAACAAAGAAGAAAAAAATTTTGCGAATTTTCAAGAATTTAAATTATTTTACAAAATTAAAAACCTTTAAAACACATTTATTTTTATTTTTATCATTAATAAACCTTTCCTGTGGTCACGTGATGTCCCACAAAAAATTTGGGCCCGATCGGTTCAGCCGTTTTGACGTTTATTGGATACAAACAAACAAACAGACACCCAGACAGACAAGCCAAATTTATATATAGATTATATTTTGTATTATTCCACTAAGCTATACAATAAACAATTATATCCTATCTTCTTAAACTTTCGTCGATTTTTTTTTGTTTCAAAAAATAAATGAGTTTTTTTTCCGAGGTAAATTTTTCCATTTTGACGGTTCGTTACGTGCCTGAGTTCTCATAAAAATATCGCGCGCAGTTTTGATTTTTGTTGGATACTGACAGACAGACAGACAAAGAACCAGACAAGCGAAATATATATATATAATATTATTCATTGAATTTAATAAAACTATTTTTTGCACTTTAATAAAAAATAGTTTTTACTTGTCAATTAATATTAAATTGTATCAACCTCAACAAATATCTTCCAAAAATAATTTGGGAATAATTGTGAAACTTTTTCATATTTATTATTTATTTTTAAGTAGACCAAAATTGTATTATTCTCTTTTAGAAAATATAAAAATGTTTTTATTCTTCCAAAAATATATTATTCAGTATGTATTTATGTAAATACATTTGAAAATAGTTTTAACTATTTTATAATAAAATTAAAATATTATTCATTCACTATAATTGAAGCTTGAAATGACCAGTCAGAAAATAGAAAATTCGGGAAATTCCATGAGAGTAAAAAAAATGTAACCATTTAAATATAATATATATATTTATGTACACTCCAACTGTCCGCTGAAAGTACTGTACAAAATAAAACGTTGTTTAATACAAAATAACAAAAGTAAATGTTTTTTCATTTTTATGTTTTTAATTCTAATCCTGTTTTTTCCGTTCCGTTCTGCACCTTGAGGCCCACATGTTTATATATATATATATATATATATACAACAAACATACACTGTAAACTTTACAGAATCTTGATCTCAAATAATAATACTTTTAGTTTCATTTTATGAAGTTTTAAAACTTAAAAACAGTTTTCTTTTCTTTCAAAATTTAGATTTTGCGGAAAAAAGATAAAATGAAACAATACTGTGAAATTGGTTTGNTAATCTGATAAATCCTATATTTTATGTTTATAAAATAATCTGATAAATCCTATATTTTATGTTTATAAAATAATCTGATAAATCCTATATTTTATGTTTATAAAATAATCTGATAAATCCTATATTTTATGTTTATAAAATAATCTGATAAATTCTATATTTTATGTTTATAAAATTATCTGTGATGTTTGAATTTATTTAAAAAATTGGGGCAAATGTTGAATGTACTGTTAGTAACAACTTTACAAGCTAGTTCTCCGTAGATCATCAAACTTAGAACATGTAAGCGCATCCCATTCATCCTCATCCTTTCTAATCCCCATCCTTGCTCATCCTTATCCTTTTTCATCCCATTCTTATCCAGACTCATCCTCATCCTTACTCATCCCCATCCTTGCTCATCCTTATCCTTTTCATCCCATCCTTATCCAGATTCATCCCCATCCTTAATCATCCCCATCCTTATCCAGATTCATCCTCATCCTTACTCATCCTAATCCTTGCTCATCTCCATCCTTATCCAGACTCATCCTCATTCTTACTCATCCCCATTCTTAACAAGACTCATCCTCATCCTTACTCATCCCCATCCTTACCCAGACTCATCCTTTTCATCCCATCCTTATCCAGACTCATCCTCATCCTTACTCGTCTCATCCTTATCCAGACTCATCCTCATCCTTTCTCATCCCATCCTTATCCAGACTCATCCTCATCCTTACTCATCCCCATCATTAACCAGACTCATCCTCATCCTTACTAATCCCCTTCCTAGACTCATCCTCATCCTTATCCTGACTCATCCTCATTCTTGCTAATCCCCATTTTTATCCATCCCCATCCTTCTTCTTCCTCATCCTTTCTCAACCACATCTTTACCAATCCAAGACTCTTTTCCTTATCCTGGTTAATCCTCATCCTTATCTAGATTCATTCTCATCCTCGCTCGTTCTCATCTTGCTCGTCCTAACCTTATCTCGACTCATCAAAATCTTTACTCGTCCTCGTCCTGTCTCTCTAACTCATACTTTCTCCTTCTCATCGTGCTTCTCACCTCATCCTCATCCTAATCTTATCTTCGTCCTCATCCTCTTTCTCATCTTTTCCCTTCTTTGATCTTCATCCTCATTTTCATCCAAAACTCATCAAGAATCTCAAATTACTCTCTATATATGCATTTATTGTCAAATTCCATCTCAAATGAAGACTGCAATTTAATAAACTTCCTTATCGAATTTTATCCTTATTATTCTAGGATATTATTGCTTAGCTGCCTTCTTTACACAATCTATGGGTTGGGATTGGTTAGCTCTGCTCCAAGTCAAGGATTAGGTTTGCTGAATCCTGCACCTGGATTAGTTAGTACTGCTCCAGGAGGAGCTAAACTGAACCAGGGTTCAGGAAGGAGACATAAAAGATCAGGTGGCGTTTCTTGAATATTAAAAACTGATATTTATATGAAAATGACTTTAGATCTAGCCACAAACACCGATTTTCTAATCTCTATATCTTAGCAACCCAACGACGTAAACATTAAATATTTCAAAACGTGAATCCTGTTCGATAAATTGGCCTATGTTTTAAAAGTAAAAGGTGTCCACCATCAGGTTGCAAAAATATAAGAATTATAACGTTTGATTTTGTGGACTTAATTCCTTTATGAAATCATTCATGTTTTTGTTTTGTATGAAAAATGTATTGGTGCAACAAATCTTAGATTACGATACAAATTAGACAAATATGATTTTTGCTCTTTTTTTCACCAATAAACTCCCGAGATACTAGTTCGGATACTTCACTTTGTGACATGAACAGTTTCTAAAATTATTCTATAGTATTGTTTTAAAAAGTCACGTGAAAATTCCGTTAGAATCTTTAATCTCATATTGCTCCCAAACATGTACTTTAAGCTCTAACTCATCATATGGAAGACAGGGATTTTATAAAAAGAAGTTTACATAAAATAATTGTTGTGTTTAAATGTTCAAATGTATACTTAAATATAAAATTTTAGTTGCATGAGGAAAAGTTTGTTTTGGCATGTCAATGCTGAAATGAAGTAATGGTTCATAATATTTTCTTTTTTCTTTGCATTTTTCCCCCAATTAATATTAAATTTTAATTTTTCTGAAACAAAGTTTGATTTTTGTTTAGTTGACGCATTTGTGCGCGAGAATGTAAACTCCCTGGATCAGAGTGATCTATTCCTTGACTCCTATATTACTGAGACCTACAGACACCTGGAGGAGGATCTTGAACTCTCCGTCCTTGACTCCGATAGTACCTTCCTACCTCCTCAGAGATTCAGATCCAGACGATCAAGGTAAATCCAGAGATTAGATTAGGAATATCATATCTCTGGGTGAACTGCATCTAATAGTTTTCAGCAAATTAAAGATCTAAAGATTGTAATCCTTATATCTACATAACCTGATTGTAAAACCTTTAATTAGAATATTTGAGGTTGGGGCAAAAACTCTTTTTCTTTAAAAAATAAAATGTCACCCACATTTGTCACGGCTGCTGAGGCACAAAATGACGCCCATATGATTAAGATTCTTTCGGAATGAAAATGTCAAACTATATATATAAATTAATCTTTCAGTTTTTAAACTTCACATTTTATTTTTAAAAAATATACTAAACATAATGTTTTACGCCCGGTTCACGCCTCATGACGATCCTCAGTAGTCAAAATTCTTTGAACATCTAAATTTCCAAGATTTTTTCATCACATATTACGTATCTATTTTAAAATATCACAAACATTTCTTTGCAATAATTTTCCTTTTAAAACATATAGCACTTAACTGCAATATACAAATTATTAGATACATATAAAAACATGATAACATTAGGCTAAATCGATGATAATAGATATTTTCTTCTATGCCGACATGCATGATTATTAATGTGTAGATGTGAGGATGGGTTTTTTCTATGTTGCATAAATTGCATCTCTTCTTGGTTGGATGATATGAGGTTGCATACTTGTCGTTAAACCATTTTATTTCATAAGGTTTCTTTTGATCCTTTAATTTACAAATGTACTTGGAAAGTGCCGTACTTTCATTGTATTTTTGATTCCTAAAAGATGATGTATGGTTCAGGTGTTAGAAGCCAAACCAATATATGCCACTCTGTATCTTGGTCTGATTTTATTTCTGCTCTGTGCACAATAGATTTGGTTAAACATTTTCCCTTTAAAGGACGAATATTTTTCCCTCTGCAGTTAAAATGTCAAACTATATATATAAATTAATCTTTCAGTTTTTAAACTTCACATTTTATTTTTAAAAAATATACTAAACATAATGTTTTACGCCCGGTTTACGCCTCATGACGATCCTCAGTAGTCAAAATTCTTTGAACAACAAAAATTCCAAGATTTCTTCATCACATATTGCGTATTTATTTTAAAATATCACAAACATTTCTTTGCAATAATTTTCCTTTTAAAGATATAGCACGTAACTGCAATATACAAATTATTAGATACATATAAAAACATGATCACATAAGGCTAAATCGATGATAATAGATATTTTCTTCTATGCCGACATGTGATTATTAATGTGTAGATGTGAGGATGGGTTTTTTCTATGTTGCATAAATTGCATCTCTTCTTGGTTGGATCATATGAGGGTGCATACTTGTCGTTAAACCATTTTATTTCATAAGGTTTCTTTTGATCCTTTACTTTCCAAATGTACTTGGAAAGTGCCGTACTTTCATTGTATTTTTGATTTCTAAAAGATGATGTATGGTTCAGGTGTTAGAAACAAAACCAATATATGCCACTCTGTATCTTGGTCTGATTTTATTTCTGCTCTGTACACAATAAATTTGGTTAAACATTTAAAGGTCGAATATTGTTTCCTCTGCAGTTACATTCCTTTTTAGACGTTGCATTATGCTGAATTTCTTTACTTCATAATTTTTATGAATTTTATCAAAATTTATAAAAACGCTTTTTATTTCAGAGAGTTTTGGAATAATAACCTTTTTATTCTTTCACCAAGTAACCATAAAATCAGAAATAAATAAGGTTTTCAATGCTACCCTGTGAAGAAAATGAAGATTTATAACTTATGAGACGTACATTTATTTTGGAAGGAAGTTGGTGAAATAATTATAAAAGTAAAACGAGAACTGAATCGAGAGGAAAAAGAAATTAATCTTGTCACAAATTCAAACTATCTAATCCATATATCTTTGCAACCTGACGGCGTAAACCTTTGATAATTCAGAACAGAATTTATAGTTTAACATTTAAGGTCTACAAAAAAGATATAGGAATTTAGAAAATCAGAGTTTGTGGCAACGACTCGATTCCTTTGACCAGTTGCATCCTATATTCAAATATTTAACTGTTGTATTCTAGATCCACCCTAGAAAACACGAACGCAACCAAGAGTATCCTGACGGAGGAGATGATAGAGAAGTTGAAAGTGATTGCTCGAAACCCTAAACTACGGGATTGGGCTGAAAGAGCCGGATCCCAGCTACTCAGTGAACTCAACGGTAAACCTCATTTTCTTTAATGTAGAATATTAAAGTTATTATTTAGCTGAGCTGGGTAATTAAATTAAAGGTTCCCCCCCTCCCTCCTATCCTGGTGTTACTCCCTCCCTCCCTCCTACCCTGGTGGTGTTGATTTCCCATCCCTCCTACCCTGGTGTGTTGCACCCCATATTCATGGTGTTGCTCCCTCCTCCCCCAAACCCTGGTGTGTTGCACCCCATATTGATGGTGTTGCTCCCCCCTCCCTCCTACCCTGGTGAGGGTGTTGCATTGCATATTCATGGTGTTGCTCCCCCCTTATCCTGCTGTTTGCAAATTAAGGTTATTATTTAAACATGAAATTCTAAATGTTGCATCAAAGGAAACCCAAGTTTATAAAAAGATTTAGCAAAAATATTTAATTTGTTTATTATTGGTTGCTTGAAACTAAAAGTTCTTTTCAAACTTTTTAGTAAAAAAAATTAATCGAAAATTAAAATTAATTCAACACAATTTCTAGAAAACATTTTTTTACAAACCCTTCGTTGTTAGCCGGTAAGAACGTGACGGATATTGAGAAGACGGATAAGACGGGAGGAAGTTCGAATGAGCTGAGCGTGCTTCGATTCCTCCTGGATATGCTGAACCGTGGAGAGGTTTTGGAGAAGAACGGAAATGAGAAGAAAAGGAAACCTGATGAATCCTGTCTTGATGCTGCAAATATCCTCGCTAACGATACCAGAGCTCAAGTTAGAGAAAAACAGGGGAAAAGGTAACAAAGAAGAACAAAATAGGAAAAGGTAACAAACAAGATCAAAACAGGAAAAGGTAACAAACAAGATCAAACCAGGAAATGGTAACAAACAAGATCAAAACAGGAAAAAGAAACAAACAAGATCAAAACAGGAAAAGGTGAAAAAGGGATCAAAACAGGAAAAGGTAACAAAGATTAACAAAACAGATAAAGGTAACAAACAAGATCAAAACAGGAAAAGGTAACAAAGAAGAACGAAAAAGGAAATGTTATAAAACAAGATCAAACAGGAAAAGGAAAAAAAGGGTAAAAAACGATCAATACATGAAAAGGTGACAAACAAGATCAAAGCATGAAAAGGTAACAAACAAGATCAAAACAAGAAAAGGTAACTAACAAGATCAAAACAGGAAAAGGTAACAAAGATGAACAAAGCAGGAAAAGGTAACAAACAAGATCAAAGCATGACAAGGTAACAAACCAGAACAATACAGGAAAAGGTAACAAAAAAGATCAAAACAGGAACAGTTAACAAACAGGAAAAGGTTACCATCAAGATCGAAACAGGAAAAGGAAACAAGTAAAATAAAAGGGAAAGGATTTAAAAGGAAAACAGGAGAAAATTTAGCAAAGAAGGGGAAATCACGGGGAAAGCGTAAAGAAGGACAATGATGTAGAGAAAAGGAAAATAATGGAAAAACAAGGGAAAAGGGAAAAGAAACGACCAAGGAAAAACTTTTAATAAATGTTTAATGAAACCGGCACAAATCAGAAAGAAAGAACTGGAGATGTAAATAGTAGAATCTGAATCTAGAAAACGAAAACGTTCCATATTCATTCTAATCTAAAGATAAAGGTTTTTATCGCCCTATAGATAGGAAATTTAGGGGATTGTAAACTTTATTTTAATGATTCTTAAATTAGAGAGTGCAATTTAATATTCATAATGAGCACTCTCTAAACAGAACTAGTTAAAAGCCATTTAATATTAACCATTTCATGCACTTCTTTTATATACAAATCCACGAGTCATTTTCACACAAATCCACAGGTACAAATTATAATTATACCTAATCAAAAAAGCTTTGTTATCGCAGATTTGTTATAGCCGGCCAAACGACTGGACCGATTGGGCTGAATTTTTTTGTGGACACTCATGGGAGGCCGGGGGGTGTTATAGGCTAAAAAAATATTTTTTTCAAATTAAAAAAAAATATTTTTTTCAAATTTCTTTTTTACCACGAGCTAGTTCTTTATAAAGTTAATATTTCGTGGAGAATCCTTGTAAGATCATTGTTCACATTCTTTTTATGTCTCCTTCTTTCCTATACTTCCGTCTTTTCCTTTCTTCCTTCTTTTCTTTCATTTACATACCTAGCCTCTTAAAAACTTATGTATAATTTAGGTAATAAGGGATTTGAGTATCTATGCTTTAAAACAGATTTTGTTTCAATTCTTTCTGCTGAAAGATATACATACATGGTTTCAGTTTATTACCAATTTAGAGTCAAAATTTCATTCAATCATTAATCTCCGATTACGACTAGACTTGTCATATCTTTAAACCTGTTCTTGAAACAGACTTTGTTGCCCTGAGTTGTTTATGTAACGGTAATGGTTGCTCTAACCAAGTTGTAAAATAAAACTAAACATGACATTTTTCTTTTTAGGGATTATCTTTCAAATGTTAAGGCAAAAAAGTTATTAACTTTTACTGAACTGTGGATTTTGCCGTCACATTTAATTTAATTGGAACGAATGGGTTTATCGCTGTACTTTAGGGAAAGCTGATTAAATCTTAAAAGTTGGAATTATTAAAATTAAAGATTAGTTTTGTTGTTTCTCCTTGAATATAACAAATGTTCATTTCTAGAAACTAAACTTCCTTTTAGCACTTTAGAACATAGTATATAACTTTCTACTTAGACTTAATCATTAATTTCTGAAAAAAAATCATTTAGAAATAATTCATTTAGACTTTAAATTACAGCTTTTGTGTCAATTGCCATTTATGTGTATTTTAATTTATTTTACCTGTTCTCCAACCCATTTTCTTTTACCTGTTCTCCAACCCATTATCTTTTACCTGTTCTCCAACCCATTTTCTTTTACCCGTTCTCCAACCCATTTTCTTTTACCCGTTCTCCAACCCATTTTCTTTTACCCGTTCTCCAACCCATTTTCTTTTACCTGTTCTCCAACCCATTTTCTTTTACCCGTTCTCCAACCCATTTTCTTTTACCCGTTCTCCAACCCATTTTCTTTTACCCGTTCTTTTACCCGTTCTCCAACCCAATTTCTTTTACCCGTTCTCCAACCCTTTTTCTTTTACCCTTTCCCCAACCCATTTTCTTTTACCAGTTCTCCAACCCATTTTCTAAGGAGACGACATCGTTTTTTTAAGAAGTGTAATTAATTCCTATTTTTTCTGTGAACTTTACGTGTATCATTTATCCAGTAGTCAAAGTTATCGTAAAAAAGTCGTAGACCTTAGATATTTCATAATATGAATTCTGATAGATCAAATAATATAAGTTTAAAAATATTGCATGGTGCACATCAAGTTGCAAATATATAGGGATTAGAATATTTGAGTTTGTGGCAAAGACTCAATTCCTCTGATAAGAATCCTATTTAGAATGAAGTGCTACATAAACCCTGAGGTTGATCCTTGTGAGGATTTTTATGAATTTGCGTGTGGTAAGTGTTAAAAATTAAATGTGGTAAGTACTGTAAAGGTTGTGGTTAGAACTGAAAAGTTTTTGGTGAAAACTGTAAAGTAAATGTATTAAATGGTGTAAAATTTGTGTTAAACGATGTAAAATTTGTGGTTAATGTTGTAAGGTTTCTGGTTAATGCTGTAAAGTTGGTTGTGTGGTAAGTGTTGTAAACATTTTGGCAATTGTTGTGAACCGTGGGACAAGTGTTGTTAACCATGTGGTAAGTGGTGTAAACCATGTGGTAAATTATATAAACCATGTGGTAAGTGATATAAACCATTTAAACCATGTAAACTATGTGGTAAGTGTTGTATAAATGTAAACATGTAAAAGTGCTGTATGCTTATGGTTTAAAGAATTTTTGTTGGTAAATTAAATACTTAATTATGCTTAAAGCGGGTATTGCATATAATTATTAATTAATTTCCGATAATTATTTAAATATTTCATTGCTAAGATTTATTTTGTTAAAAGTTAAAATTCTACTCCTCATATGTAAATAAAATACAGTTAAAAACTAACCTTAAACTATTATTTTCTAAGCACTAAATCTGTACAGCCAGAGGCCGAATTTAAAGAATTTGAGCCGTGGTTTAAATTTAAGCCGCGGCTCAAATTTTGGTGGTTTCACTTAAATTTGTATTAAATTTTTCAAGATTTAAGCCGGCGCTTAATTGAAACTGAGATTTGAGACCAAATTGGTTGAATTGTATACACTTTCTGTGGATAAAAACTAAAGATTAAAATTATCTTAAGATAAACAAAATGAGGAAATCAAGCATTGATATTGATTTCCTAAATTCTAAACTTCTCAGGTAACTGGGAGCTGTACTATCCTATTCCAATGGACCGAGGAGGATACGACACATTTGAGATTCTCAGAGAAGAACTAGATCTTAAACTCAGGCAACTTTTACAGGTCCAGGCAACTTTTACAGGTCCAGGCAACTTTTATAGGTCCAGGCAACTTTTACAGGTCCAGGCAACTTTTACAGGTCCAGGCAACTTTTACAGGTCCAGCCAACTTTTACAGGTCCAGGCAACTTTTACAGGTCCAGCCAACTTTTATAGGTCCAGGCAACTTTTACAGGTCCAGGCAGCTTTTACAGGTCCAGGCAACTTTTATAGGTCCAGGCAACTTTTACAGCTCCAGGCAACTTTTATAGGTCCAGGCAACTTTTACAGGTCCAGGCAGCTTTTACAGGTCCAGGCAACTTTTATAGGTCCAGGCAACTTTTACAGGTCCAGACAACTTTTACAGGTCCAGGCAACTTTTATAGCTCCAGCCAACTTTTACAGCTCCAGCCAACTTTTATAGGTCCATGCATTTGGAATTAAGTATTTTCCAAAAACTCTTTAATTTTCTAAATCTTTCCTATATATCAAACTATGTTATTCTGTTAGATAAAAATATCAAACTTTTACACTATGAGGCTGGAAAGCTATAGGAATTAAAAAAGTTTGAGTTTGTGGCAAAGACTAAACTCCTTGGAAAGAAAACTTCTGGAAATTTCCAGAGTTTTCGAAATGATAATTGTCAAACAATTGGTTGGTTCGAGCCACAACATTCCACTCTGATTACATTCGTTGGCGCCATAAATTTTGAAATTAGATTTGTTGTCTTCCCAAAATAGATATACCTTGTCAAACATCACATTTTCCAAAAATTGACTCTCCGGAAATACAGTGAGAACCAGAAAACTGTGAAATAAGCAATATTTAAGTGTATTTGATGTTGTTACGACGCAAAATTAATTGGTTTGTGCATACTGCAAAATTGCTGTGTTTCATGTTCCTTGGACGATTTAAAAGCATAAATTGAGTCTAAAAGTCGTCTTCCTCTTTCACAGTTTTCTGGTTCTCAGTGTAGATCTTTTCCGAAAATTTACCGGGTGTCTTTGACGATTAAAATTCTAAGCTTTGTGGAGATTGATCATGAGATTTACATGTCCTGTTTTCATCTTGAAGGAGACTGTAAGCAAAATTTCAAGTAACCCTCCATGCAAAGATGGCAATGTCTGATTCACAACGGTATCTTTAAAAGATTTTTCTGATCTATGAATTACATATCTATATAACCGTTTTTAATTTTGAAATCTGATTATTTGTTTATTTAAAGTTTCCATACTTCCTTACTTTTCAAAATGTTTTCTTGTAAGATTTCATGAACCCCAAAATATGGTTGCATAGAATGAATTTTTTATGTTTAAAATGATTACAATACTGCATGGATTTCATCAAACAATCCTTTAACTTTTTCCCTCTTCTCAACTGCATATTGAAGATTATTCCGGAGTGTTGAATCCAGATCAAGATTGTTTCAGCAAAACTTTTTATTCTATAAAATATTAAACAGAAATGGACGTTCTTTCGGGATATATCCTAATTAGCAGATAGATCTAGTTTTGGTATACTATTTGATTATTTTTTTTTTGTTGTGTTGGGGGTGGGGGGCCGGGGAGTGCGGGCTTGTGTGGTATTAGAAAAGTATATAATTATAAATCGTATGCTCTGAAAGTTTGAGTTCGTAACATTACACAAAATGTTGACTTTAAGATGCCTGATAAACTCTTTAAATGTGCAAAGAAATACCGTACATCCTGCTTAATAATCCCTTTAAATGTACAAAGAAATATCGTACATCCTGCTTAATAATCCCTTTAAATGTACAAAGAAATACCGTACATCCAGCTTAAAAACCTCTTTAAACGTACAAAGAAATACCGTATATCCAGCTTAATAACCTCTTTAAACGTACAAAGAAATACCGTATATCCAGCTTAATAACCTCTTTAAATGTGCAAAGAAATAACATACATCTTGCTTGATAATTATATCAAAGGAATTGATTCTTTGTTATCAATTCTGATTTTCCAGTCCTAATTTCTTTTCAGCCCAATGTCGTGGACCTCAGATATGTAAAAATTATGAATTCAGTTAGTCCAAATATTCTAAGTTTGAAATATCAAAGGTTTACAACATCAGGATGCAGAGATATAGGGATAAGAAAATCAGAGTTTGTGGCAAAGACTCATTTTTTTCAAAGAAATGCAGTGCATCCTAAAATTGCATCCATAAATTTTTAAATAGCTTTGTCAAATCTTCAAGGTTGATAAGAAACATATCGTTATTTTCCTCGGCCCCGAAAGAAAATAAATGCAGTTTAAACCTTGAATTCTTTTCTATAATGTAAACAAGTTTTTTCCCAGGCAGATATAGAAGAAGATGAATCCTTAGCAACTAGAGCTGTCAAAACATTGTTTACATCGTGTATGAATACAGGTATATAGGAGGAATACAGGTATATAGGAGTAATACAGGTATATAGGAGGGATACAGGTATATAGGAGGGATACAGGTATATATGAGAAATACAGGTATAGGAGGGATACAGGTATATAGGAGGAATACAGGTATATAGGAGGGATACAAGTATAGGAGGGATACAGGTATATAGGAGGGATACAGGTATATAGGAGGGATACAGGTATAAAGGAGGGATGCAGGTATATAGGAGGGATACAGGTATATAGGAGGGATACAGGTATATAGGGGGGATACAAGTATAGGAGGGATACAGGTATATAGGAGGGATACAGGTATATAGGAGGGATACAGGTATATAGGAGGGATACAGGTATATAGGAGGGATAGAAGTATATAGGAGGGATGCAGGTATATAGGAGGGATACAGGTATATAGGAGGGATACAAGTATATAGGAGGGATACAGGTCTATAGGAGGGAAACAGGTTTAGGAGGGATACAGGTTGGGAGGAATACATGTATATAGGATAATTCAGGTGTATAGGAGGGATACAGATTTACGAGGGATATTGGTATATAGGAGGGATACAGTTTTGGAGGGATACATGTATATAAGAGGAATACAGGTATATATTAGGGATACAGGTATAGGAGGGATACATGTATATAGGAGGTATATAGGAGGGATACAGGTATAGGAGGGATACAGGTATAGGAGGGATACAGGTATAGGAGGGATACAGGTAAAGGAGGGATACAGGTATATATGAGGAATACAGGTATAGGAGGGATACAGGTATATATATGAGGAATACAGGTATATAGGAGGAATACAGGTATATATGAGGGATACAGGTATAGGAAGAATGTAGGTACGTAGAATAGAATGATTAAGTGAACCTGTTTAGATGAGATAGAGAGAAGAAGAGAGGTTCCCCTACTGAACCTATTGGAAAGGTTGGGGGGCTGGCCTGTACTTGAAGCAGAAAAATGGAATCAAACTAACTTTGATTGGATTAAACTTATAGGAACTTAACAAAATTATGAAAACGAAATTATGAAAATTATGAACATATATCAAGTTTACAATTATGCCAACTTATCAACTGTATTTACAGTTTACAAGGTTTATTTTTAGTTTGAACCACACTTATCAACTTTTTAGAGTTCTATTTAACTCAGTGAACACAATATTGAACAATAAAACAAAGATATTAGATTATAGTTATATAATATTATTTGTTAAGTAACTAGGAGAACTGAGATTGTTTAATAATGATATTCTGGTTTCCCTCTGGGTTGGTCCTGATGGTAAAAACTCTGACCAATATATTGTACAGGTATATCGTAGATAAAACTCTACCGTACCAACCAGTCTGCAAAGATATCAAACTCTCTTTATATTGTAAACAAACGCTGATTTCTAAAAATATCTCTTATATAGGGTTTCCCTCAAAGGATAACACTTCATGGAGACGACTGTGCGGAATTTACACTGTTTTTTATATTCATGAATCCCAGCAACTGTAAACTTATTTTTAAGCTTTTAAACACTATATTCAAGGCCCCTAAGAGTAAGACTTAATTTAATCTTGTTATCATGATATTCCTATCTTCCACTACTAAATATTTGTTTAGTTTGATCAGTCTGATCTTGTTCTACCGAGTTCAGAGTATTATCATCAAGGGAATAATCATCCAATCATGAAAGCTTACAAGGTGAACACAAGTTATCAGCTAGCTTTAATTCCAGTAAAAGATCTGTCTTTTATCAGCTATTAATCAGGTGAAATTTTTGTAGCTTATCTGAAAACAGCTTCTAATCAGCTGATCAGAACACAGGCTAGCTAACTGGTCAGAAGACGACATCTAATCAGCTGATCAAAAACGACATCTAATCAGCTGATCAGAAGACGACCCCCTTGAAAATGGTTAGCTCATTGAAAATATCTGTATGTAGTAATGTCTTTGTTGCAAAAATGGCATTGCTATTCTTAAAATTATCCCAGTATATCCTTATCCTTCAGATGTCAACATAAATTGTATTCTATCCTGAAAATTTGAGTAGAAATGTTGAATGTTTATCCTTTGAAAGTGTCCAATACATAAATTCCAATATAAAGTTTGAGGCCAGAATACAACATTATATATACAATACATAATATACCTCTAGCATCACTATACAGGAACCAGGAGGGGGGGATATTATACAGGGTGATTCATAAATACTCAGGAGGGAGGTATATTATACAGGGTGATTCATAAATACTCAGGAGGGAGGTATATTATACAGGGTGATTCATAAATACTCAGGAGGGAGGTATATTATACAGGGTGATTCATAAATACTCAGGAGGGAGGTATATTATACAGGGTGATTCATAAATACTCAGGAGGGAGGTATATTATACAGGGTGATTCATAAATACTCAGGAGGGAGGTATATTATACAGGGTGATTCATAAATACTCAGGAGGGAGGTATATTATACAGGGTGATTCATAAATACTCAGGAGGGAGGTATATTATACAGGGTGATTCAAATATACTCAGGAGGGAGGTATATTATACAGGGTGATTCAAATATACTCAGGAGGGAGGTATATTATACAGGGTGATTCATAAATAATCAGGAGGGAGATATATTATACAGGTTGATTCATAAATACTCAGGAGGGAGGTATATTATACAGGGTGATTCATAAATAACCAGGAGGGAGATGTATTATACAGGTTGATTCATAAATAACCTGGAGGGAGGTATATTATACAGGGTGATTCATAAATAACCAGGAGGGAGATGTATTATACAGGTTGATTCATAAATAACCTGGAGGGAGGTATATTATACAGGGTGATTCATAAATAACCAGGAGGGAGATGTATTATACAGGTTGATTCATAAATAACCTGGAGGGAGGTATATTATACAGGGTGATTCATAAATAACCAGGAGGGAGATGTATTATACAGGTTGATTCATAAATAACCAGGAGGGAGATGTATTATAAGGGTGATTAATAAATATTTCAATATTCTATCCAGGATATCCTTGTGAATATTGCTGTTCTCCTGGGAGCTGAGAAAGGAGTGGCTGAGACGGATATGCAGAATGTTATAGATTTTGAGATCGAATTATCAATGGTGAGTCAGGATTATTAAAGGGACTGTCGTAGAAACTTCAAGGGACCTAAAATTGTTGAGTTCCCGATTCACAATGGTACCCTTTAAATGATCCAGATACGGTCGCTTTTTTAATTCTAAAAAGTGTAAAATTCTCGGTGAATTTCAGTGACTTTTATAGAGAAATCACAAATATAAATTATCAATTTTCAGATATAAAGATAGGGATGTCTGTATCATGTTTGCTAGGACAAAGGTTTTAAAGGGATATACCGGTGTGACTCGGGTAAGCCCCTCTACGGTTGCTCAAAAAAACTTCGATAGTCCCTTTAAACTTATTTTATCGGCGAAGCTTTGAATTAAGGATTTAGAATTTAGATTACACCAACCCACCTATCCATTTATTCAACTTTACAAGGGATAATTTTATGGATTTATATATTATTACATGTTTAATTATCTGTCTTTCCATTTATTCAATTCTATGATGAGTCGTTTTATGCATTTTTCATGTTACATATTTCTAGATAATGACCCCACCGCATGAAAGACGAAACTTCTCTGTGATGTATGAGAAGATGAAACTTGAAGAATTAGCAGTTCTGGTTCCAGAGTTTAATTTTACCAAGGAACCAAACCTTCGACATCTTGTATTTTTTCAGACTCCAAGAACGTTAACAGGGGATTAAAATTATTAGATGAATTGTCAAAGTTAACTGCTGTTAACCATATATTACCATGAGCTTTTGCCGCCCTAATAGTAATGGAGATATTATGATGCTATATCGATTGCACTAATGTCCGATTGAACTAACGTACTTTTGCACTAAAGTGCGGATCAGTAACGCTTGTGGCCGCAGCGCCCGGCCCCCTAGCCTGTCCTGGCCGCGGAGCTTGGCCCCTTGCCGGTCCTAGCCGCAGCGCTCGGCCCAGAAATTGTGTTAACCTAACCTAACCCTCAAATAAAACGTTAGTCCGAATGAACGTTAGTGCGAATGTACGTTAGTCCGATCAATCATTAGTGCAAACAATACGACACCGATATTTTCCTCTGATCTATAAATTGAAAATGATCTCCGGTGGATTTTCTAGAAACAAACTCGTGGATTTCACAGCGTGGACATAAAGTGAGGCCATAGTTCTTGTTTTTCAAATCAGAGTTGGAACTGTTGCGTGGAGTATTTTTAATTTTAAACGCTTGATGTATATCCGATGTAGACACTTTTACATTTTAATATCGATGCGTGATCCCTTAATCAAGGTTATCACCGTAGGGTATAACCACCACGGGATTATGAAGAGGAATTAAATTAGTCTGTAGATCTGCATAAGATTATTGTTTGTTCCCGAGATTCACAACAACAAAAGTTCAAACTAACATTTTTCTGTCATAGCTTTCAATGGTACTAAAGTGAATTATAAGTATTGGGTCACGTGACAATGAAATTACTTTAACAATCCTTTTATTAAGATTTATTGATAGATTTTAAAATTGAATAATGATGGTTTGTTGATTACAGTATCTTGGTATAGTTCTCCCTTCTAAACTAGAGAATCAAGATGAAATTGTTATTTATGCATCAAAATACTTTCTCAAGGTCTGTAACAGTTCTGGTAAACCATATGTTTTTGTTATCAGATGTGAGGGTTTACATTTAAGTTGAATTTGAGCTGTAGTAATCAGATTGAGGTTCAAAAATGTTAACTTCTTGTAATTTTTGTTTCTCCCTCTAGCATATTATATCCATATATATTCTAGTTAACAGATCTGGTATATCCATATATATTCTAGTTAACAGAATTGGTATATCCATATATATTCTAGTTAACAGATTTGGTATATCCATATATATTCTAGTTAACAGAATTGGTATATCCAAATATATTCTAATTAACAGATCTGGTATATCCTAACATATTCTAGTTAACAGATCTGGTATATCCATATATATTTTAGTTAACAGAATTGGTATATCCATATATATTCTAGTTAACAGATTTGGTATATCCATATATATTCTAGTTAACAGAATTGGTATATCCAAATATATTCTAATTAACAGATCTGGTATATCCTAACATATTCTAGTTAACAGATCTGGTATATCCATATATATTTTAGTTAAAAGATCTGGTATATCCATGTATATTCTAATTGACAGATCTGGTATATATATTCTAGTTAACAGATCTGGTATATATATTTTAGTTAACAGATCTGGTATATCCATGTATATTCTAGTTAACAGATCTGGTATATCCTAACATATTCTAGTTAACAGATCTGGTATCCAGAACGCAAAAGAGAACTCTTTCCAACTACATCCTGATGAGATTTATCAGGCATAGGATCAACAATTTGGATAAAAGGTTAGAAAACAAAATTAAAGGGACTGTACGCGAGATTTCAAAAAGCTTTGTTTGATCAAGTGTAAATTATATAGCAATGTAAATAATTTTAAAAACTGATCATTTTCAAATGTGGTTTCACCACAAAAGTGAATTGCGCAATTATACTGCAGGAAAACATGCATGAATTATCATAATTTAACACTTTGAAACCAAGAATAACGACAATACCTTTCACATTATCGATTAGAGAAAGGTTTAAAGGTTACCGTTGTATATCCGTCATATTGCCACCTTTTCATGGAGGATCACTTGAAATTATGCTTACAGTCCCTTTAACATTAACTTTTATATTTCATAAAATTACAATTCTTCATTTTCAGATTTGAGAAAATTCAAAATGAGCTCTACAGGAAAATTTCTCTTTATTAATATTATAAAGTTATGTCAGCTATTTTGCAAATCATCAATTTGATGAGTTTTCAAGGCGCAGATAATAAGAGAAAGAGTTTGGTAGATTATTGTATGGACGAGAGGAGATGCCTGCTCGCTGGAAGTTCTGTATAGCATACGTCAACGGCAACCTAGGGATGGCCGTTGGATCTCTGTTCGTCAGTAAATATTTTGATGGAAAATCTAAACAGGACGTAAGACTTTTTTAATCTTACATCAATATGCAATGATTTCCCGGAGAAAAGACCATAAATTTAACAAAAAATATTGAGTTCTCAAAAATAAAACATGTAAAAAGAAAATTATTTTCTATAATTTGTAGATGCTGAATTTAACAAGTGAGGTCCAGCATCAGTTTAAACAGCTGTTGGAGGGATCAGAATGGCTGTCCAACTCTACAAAACAAACTGCAAGGTTTGCAAAATTTTATTTTTTGGATCCAACCAATTTTTAACTTCATTATAAAAAAACTAAATTTCTTCAGTAAATTAAAAAAAATTGTATTAAATTTTTTGTAGGCAAGTATTTAAATTCTGACCGTCAAAAACCTACCCTTGCATTAAGTTATGTCCTTCATAAAATTTTGACCTGATTGGTTCAGCCGTTTTGCCGTTCAGTGGATTTAATAAACAACCAATCAAACAGACAACGATAATTTTTCTGATAAATTAATCTAAAGGAACTGAAAACTTGCAACAAACTCTAGTTTCCTAATCCATATATTTTTGCAACCTGAAAGTGTAACCTTTTATATTTCAAATTTTGACTTTAAAATCTAGCCAATTTAAAGGGAGTGACCGGTATGGTAGTTGAACTGAGAATGTAGTATTGTGAAGAAATTTTTTAGAATTCATTTGATAAAACGTTTTTTTAAAGTATAATTACTGAGTTTGAGCGCAAAGTCAACTTTCAAAATCATCCATTGGTGTATTGTAAATTTTTTTATGCATTTTTCGTCCTCGTTTATTTAATAATTTTAAAAAATCGATTTTCAAAATGTTTTGAAATTTCAAAGGTCTATAGATATCAGGATGCAAAGTTTGTGGCGAGTAAGCAGTTCCGATCGGTTCAACCGTTTATTGGACACAAACAAACAAAAGCAGACAGACAAATACAAATATACAGGGTGTCCCACATCTATTAGATCGTTCATAGCTCTAAATGAAGAATTATGGGACTAATCAGAATTTTTTTTAAATAATCATTGTAAAAAAGTGTATATAGCTAATAAAAAAAAATTCTTACAGAAATACCAGGGTTTTCGAATATTATGTTCGTATTTTTTCGTTAAAGCTTGGAGATAATCCAATATGATATGGGACGCTCAGTTTATTGATGTTTTTTAATAAATTGATTTGTATTTGATTGTTTAGAGCTAAACTGGAGGCAATGATTCACAACATTGGATATCCTGAACTAGTAGTTAATAATACTCTCCTTCATGAGGAGATACAAGGGGTGGGTATAGTTAATAATACACTCCTTCANTGTGTACAGGTGATAGGTTTAATTTTGTGTACAGGTGATAGGTTTAATTTCTAGATTTTATGTCCAATAGTTAGCTTTAAATCCAAGATTTCAGGGGAGATACAAGGGGTGGGTATAGTTAAAAATACACTCCTTCATGAGGAGATACAAGGGGTGGGTATAGTTAATAATACTCTCCTTCATGAGGAGATACAAGGGGTGGGTATAGTTAATAATACTCTTATACACAGATATATATATATATTCCTTCAAGATAGACTTATACACAGATATATACATATTACTCTTAGATAGATTAAAAATAGATATAAATATATATTCCTCCTAGATAGATTACACACAGATATAAATATATATTCCTCCTAGATAGATTACAAACAAGATGAATTCAAGCTCAGAGCAAATCTTCTTCCTAAACTTTGCTCAAGTTTGGTGTGGCACAGCTAGACCAGAGGCACTCAGGTTAGGGGTTCTTTCATGTTCATGTAGATATAAATATATATTCCTCCTAGATAGACTTATACACAGATATATATATATTCCTCCTAGATAGATTACACACAGATATAAATATATATTCCTCCTAGATAGATTACAAACAAGATGAATTCTTCGAGAATGTTCTGCAGAACCTTGAAGGAAGAACACATAAAGAAATGTCAATGCTTGGTCAGGTAGAGTTATATATGGGTTTTTAAAAATATCTTTTTCCTTTCTATTTTGATTGTAAGTGTTAAAATCAATCGAATTTTACTTTTAGCCCGTAGTTATTGTTCTAAGTTTAGATCATCCTTTCTATCTTTATCATACTTCTTTGTTCAGGATATAAACCCAATTTTATTTATATTATATCTCTACGTTCAGAGTTTTAACTGATATATATCTCTTATATCTCTATTCTTAGTTTGTAAAATGCTCTACCTCTATTATATCTATATGTTCAGAGTGTAAACCGATCTATTTGGACGACTACCCCAGCTGTTGTGAATGCCTACTACAGCAGGAACAGAAACCAGATCAGTAAGTTGTATCAAATATTTGTAAACAAGTACAAACATCTTTTTTTTAAAGATTATCATCAGCTGATTTTATCTGTTTTTAGTGTTTCCCGCCGGAATTCTTCAGCCGCCATTTTATCATAAATTCTTCCCACGTGCTCTCAACTATGGCGGGATTGGAGTTGTTATCGGGCACGAGATCACGCATGGATTCGACGACAAGGAACAAAAAACTTGAATAAAAGACACATCAAAATGAATAAACAACTCTTTTTGGCACTTAAATCAATATGCTTCAGTCTGGTGGTCTTTTTTGTTTTACTATATTTTTCACTAATTCAAAAAAAATTTTGTTTAGGGAAAACAATTTGATGACTTAGGAAATATTCAGCAGGAATTGTTTTTTATTCATATTTAAAAATTCGAAATTTACTAAAGACCAGTTTGTTATTTCATTATGTCATTTTCTTTACGTAATGTATTACTTTAAGATTAATGCCATGTTTTTCTTTCAAAGAAGTAAAAGAAAAAAACTGTTTAGTGGTGGGATGCGGACTCGACTTCAAGTTTTCTAGATAAAGCACAATGTATTATTGGTAAACATATTTTAAAATTCATTTAATATAATTTACTATTTCGTCTTTCTTAATCACCCTTAATTAAGCTTTCAGTGTATTGTGTAGTGATTTGCAGTACACTGACATATTTGCAGTACACTGACCGAAGAAATAGCTGGTATTAGTGGAGGGTGCAATTATCTTTCATTTTAATGTTGTGCATTTTGGAAATTTTTAATTCGATCATTTACATTTCTCTGAATTTTACTATTGAAAAGGTACTTTATTGCAAACATTTTCTTACTGTCTTTTGACAAATACGATATCCACTTTTTACTGTGTATTGTACAGGTATGTTAAGTTTTTTAGCCGTACTTTGGAAAAAAATAGGTAAAACAATTTCCAGTTTTCATGCTAATAGGCGATAAGGTTCATTTACCGGTTTCCCTTGACCAATTTGGCCTGTAAAACATTTCTGGCTATGCTCTGTTTTTTTTTATGAAACCAAATTAGTATTGAGTACTCTGTATAGTAACATTACCTAGACTGACCTCTCTAAATAATTGTTCTTTTTAGATGTTTATTTAAACTAGTCTATCTGGGCGCTGCGCGAACATCTTTACTTTCAACTTTTAATAGTTGCTCGATCTTTTACCATTTTCTCTTCGATCAAACTAAATTTTTTTTGCAGATTTACAATTTTGTCGTGGTTTTCAAAATTTTACGAAAATCAAAATTTTTGGAGACAACTTTTTGTAATTCTGAGCATCCATAAACCTTCCCTGGGGTCATGTGAGGTCCCACACAAAATTTTGGCCCGATCTGTTTAACCGTTTTGACGTTTATTGAATACAAACAGACAAACAAACATACACCCAAACACCGACACATACAGACAAGCAAAGTTGATACATAGATCACATAATTTTTATTCTAGATCAGTACAGTAGTTTCCAAGTATCCGAGGTTGCTTCTCATATCAACGGTTTAAATACCCAAGGAGAGAATATTGCAGATAACGGAGGAATTAAACAGGCATACAGAGCTTTCAGGTTCATCTTCTATCCTAGAGTTAGGTTTAATTTTGTGTACAGGTGATAGGTTTAATTTTGTGTACAGGTGATAGGTTTAATTTCTAGATTTTATGTCCAATAGTTAACTTTAAATCCAAGATTTCAAGTTTATTAGTTAGGTTTAAACCCAAGATTTCAGGTTCATAAGTGTCCATTGCCTTTCTTTGATGACTATTGATTAGGAAATTATATATTGATTAAGTTTATTAATTTAATTTCCTGGAAGGGCATTCTTAGGTAAAGTTAGTTTTGCGTAAAGTTAAATCTAATTTTTTTCATAAATTCTTTTATTTAGAAGATGGCAGGAGACGGAGGTGGAGGAGAGGCTCCCTCATCTTGAGGTGAGAAACAAACTTTTTATTTAATTATATTTTTTTACTTTATATTATTTCGTCAACCCTAAGGACCCTAAGTACACGCCGAACAAAAATACGGTAGCTCTCATGCAAAAAATAACACTAATGTTCTGTATCTTCACAACCCAATGCCGTAGAGCTTTGATATTTCAAACTAAGAATGATGTTAAATATAACAGTCTGAGTTTGAAATATCAAAAGTTTACACCATCAGGTTGAAAAGATATGGGGATTAAGTTTGTGACCAAAACTCAGTTTAAACAGGATTTTGCTAATAACTCCTTCTTAACTGAAGCCGAAACAAGAGATTTGCAGTTTTAAAATATAAATGTGGAGTAAATGGGTGAGGGACGTTGCGACACTTCTAAGTTGACCAATCTCAAAATTTAATGAATAATTTTCTTTTCTCTTTTCTCGCGAGTGATATTCATAAAAAAACTGCAGACAGCACCTCAAAGATTGAGACGTTGGAAGCCAATTGTCTTAGTTTTATGTTCAAATAAAAAAATACCTGGCTTTAAATCATGACACTTCAGAAGTTTCCAGGATGTCTTTCAAGTTATATTTTATGGATTTATGATCAATGCAAAACTGTTTTATATATTCTAAGGAGATGAGCTCAGAGCAAATCTTCTTCCTAAACTTTGCTCAAGTTTGGTGTGGCACAGCTAGACCAGAGGCACTCAGGTTAGGGGTTCTTTCATGTTCATGCTAGGAGTGCTTTATGTTCATGTTAGAAGTACTTTCATGATCATGTTAGGAGTGCTTTCATGTTCATGTTAGGAGTGCTATCATGTTCATTTTCATGTTATTAGTGCTTTCATGTTCATTTTCATGCTATTAGTGCTTTCAGGTTCATGTTAGGAGTGCTTTCATATTCATGTTCATGTTCGGAGTGCTTTCATGTTCATTTTTAGGATAGGAGTGCTTTCATGTTCACGTTCATGTTAGAAGTGCTATCAGGTTCATGTTCATGTTATAAGTGCTTTCTGATTCATGTTTTATGTTAGGAGTGCTTTCTGGTTCATGTTTATGTTAGGAGTGCTTTCTGGTTTACGTTTATGTTAGTAGGGCTTTCATGTTTGGAGTGCTTATTGATTCAGCTTTATGTTCATGTTAAGAGTGTTCTTTATGTTTCTGTTCATGTTAGAAGTGCTTATTGATTCAGCTTTATGTTCATGTTAGGAGGATTCATTATTGTTAGGGTTCATGTTCATGTTCATGTTTGGAGTGATTTCAGATTCATCTTATGTTTATGTTTATATTATTTTCAAACTTAGTTTCAGGTTCAAGTTTAGAATCTTCTACAAGTGTTAAATCAAGGTCTGAGCTGAAGTTCATAAATAAGTTTTAGGTTCACATTGATCTTTTTATTTATTTTCATCTTCATTACTCATGTTGTTGTATGGATGGATCAGGGTTTTATGTTAATGGGACCGTCGACGATAATTTTAAGTAAACCTACATTTAAAAGTTGCATGCCCGATTTACAATAGTACACTTGAATTTATGCGACAGAGAGATAGCATAAATTAAACAAAATTTAATATGTTTAGAGATAAACGACGATATCTTTCTTCTTGTGGCTCAAATAAAGCTGTAAAGCTGGTTTAGTTGTGAATCGGTTATGGATTATGCAACTCTTTAAGTACGGTGTGACTTGAAGTTGTGTTTACAGTCCCTTTAGGGTTTATATAGTTTAAGATTACTGTTGAGTATATTTCAGGAGTAAACTGAAAACTGCAGTTCATGCTCCAGGAAAATACANATACAATGATAATCAACAAACAGCTGAAAGTTTGTCATCTTACCTCTCTCTTTTCATTGTTTATTGGTTGTTATTGTATATATTTACTAAACTTGAAATTGCATTGCTCAGTTAAATTACATGTAATAATCTTCTTTTTTGTTTACTAGTTTTAATTTATTGGTTGGCCCTTGCCGTCTTTAGACTCAAATTTCTTCTTGTTCTAATTTAGCTAATAGTTAATATACGTTAAGGGTTCTAGGAACACTCTCTAACTCTGAAGATTTCCATCGCGTGTTCCAATGCAAACCTGGAGAAAAGATGAACCCAGTTAAACAGTGCCAGGTTTGGTGAAATCCATCAACATAAGAATGCTTCAAACAAGATAAGATTGAAAACTGTCTCAAAAACGAAAATAAAGATTATTTAATCTTCAATTATGTGAAATGATTCCATTTGATAATTTTTTATCGATAATTTACAAATTTCGAACAGATACAGTGATAACCAGAAATCAATGGAATAGCAAGACGACATTATGGCAATACTTAAGTGTATTTGATGTTGCTACAATTGTTACACATTGTTTGACAATTATTAAATAGACACTTATTAAATCAACCATTTAGGGAAATGAGTCTGTTTACACTGCATCATTGCTGTGTCTCATGTGCTCATTGACCTTTATAAAGTTAAAACTTGATTCTAAAAGTCGTCTTTCTATTTCAGAGTTTTCTGGTTATCACTGTAGTATTCATCCTTCTTCATGTAAATATTTTGTAAATGTGGGATTGAGATCTACGACTTACTGCCTATGGTAGTGTATTGATCTCCTCTGTCATGTTTATTAAATGTGCATAATTCACTAAAACGAAAAGAATTATCATTTTTTTCCTTCAATAATTCAGAAAATCTGATTTTTTCTACAAAATAGTTTTATTTGATGTGGGAACCCTGTAATTCTTTTATAAATTATACAATATAGATACTATAGTATATACATATTTAATTATACTGTCCAGAGTTCAATTTACCTCAATAAAACAACTGACTATACAATATACATTGTAATATTATCTTAGAAATGAAATATATTTTAAAATGCATTTTTACTTGGTTTCTCATGTTTAAAAATATAGTAGACTAATTAAATAAAAATTAAAAATCAATCAATCAATCAATATCAAAAATCGTATCTGCGTATCTGATCTATTTTCCCATTTACTTGGTCAAATAACTGTTTAATCTTACATAAACTTTGTACAAAAAACCATTATAGCAGAAAATGTTCACGCAAACAATATTATTTTTCCTAACAGAAAAAAAGATAATTTCTGCACTAAGTCTCTATATACTCTTTATATAGTTTCTTCTATTCATGGGTAGCCCTGATTGGGCTTGTCAGGAAATAAAGGATACACAAAGATAGGAGTAGATCTTGTGTAACGTAAACCCCTCCCTCTAGTACCAGGTTCATATTATTCTACGTAAGAACAAGGTTCAGGTAGTTTTTCTCAAAACCATTCTCCTGAACAGTTTCTCCAAGGTTGAGCTCTTATACGGAGCAACTAGAAAACGGAGAACTATACTGGGAACTATGAAATATGATAAGAAGACGAAAATTGTGTTTTTTACTTTTAGTAATTCATTCTGTAGGTTTGTACAAAGTGATTAAATACTAAAGTGGGCCAAGCTCATAGTTGGTTGACGACATTTTATGTCCCAAATATTTAAAAATAATATATATATATATATATAAATTGGTCTGTACGGAGTGCACAGTACAACAGAAACTGGACTCCCTTTGTTTACAAACACAGACTTAAAATTTGTATTTAACTTAAATATTGATTAACGTAAATTAAGATTTTAGAAGTGAATTTTAGCCATTTTACTGCACAATAAATAATTTCAGACAGCACAATAATGCCTGTCGTCGTTGCCTTAGTCTGTTCCACTTTAGTATTTATTCACTTTGAGGTTTGTATCGGTTTTTGTTTATTCACTGTAGTTACATAATTCAATAAAATACACATTTTAAAAGACGACAAAAAATATCTGTTTTTGTAATTTTTTAGGATTGTTTTGGCTTTATTCCTCCTACCTTAAATCCTATACCATCACATCATCATCACAATGCTTTAATACAATGAGGAAAGGACTAAAAACTTATCAATAACATAGTTTTAAAAAAAAGTGCGTTTATGAGGGTTTGAAGTCGAAAAAAAGGAATTTTTCAGTTCTAGCATGCAGATTCGGTTATATTCAATTCATATAGATTTTTTCTTGTGTTTTTGAAAAAATTGATACTTCCAACAGCTGTAAAATGAACAGTATGCTTCAATTCGTGAATGTGTACGCGAAGTGCAAAAGAAAATTTGTTAAGTACCCATGGTTTAATTACAGATTTAATTACAAGAAATAATCATTTATGTTTTCAGAAAAAAAAACATCAAAATACATATAACCCATTAATAGCCTCAAGTCTGTATAAAACAGATGCAAATATGTATATAATTGTAATACTCTATATTGAAAAAGGACAGATAATGTTACGTTTTCTCCTGATGTTATTGAATTTATGATGGATCATTCTAACCAACATTCATAATCTTATTTCATTTTCGATTTCATAGAAGTTCTTTCAAAGAATATAAACCTTATCATTTATGAAATATGATAATCAGTGAGAAATTTTCCAGGTTCAGAATGTACTCAAGATTTGGAACTGAGTTTTTGCCACAAACTCAAATATTCTAATCCCTAAATCTTTGCACCGAGTGGTGTAAACCTTTGATATTTCAAACTTAGATTATTTTACCAAAAGAATTCAAAGTTTCAAATCTACAACATTGGGTTGCAAAGATAAAGGAATTAACTCAACAGAGTTTGTGGCAAAAATCTGGAAAAACCATCTGGTGCACATTTAGTTAGAACTTAGATCAGTATATTCTAAATACATTTGTACAGTTTGAATTCTATAAACTAACAACACCACACAAATACAATACAGCTCAGAACTTTTTTTACATCAAATGTTTACAATAGCCTTTAGCCTTGAGAATTGAGAAAGATAAAAATATTTTTTTAACTAGCTATGGCATAATTTCTACAATAACTCTATTGGTTTTCTTATTCCTGTGATACTGATATTAGTCAGTCTTTCTTTTCATTCTGCCCCCCCCCCCCCTCAAGTGCTAGGAGAGGATGCGCGCCCGCCCACTCCCTAGTTGCGCCTCTGATAACATATTCGGGTTAAGGAGTTTATTTAAGTATAATCCTGAATGGCAAAGATCACTAACAGGATGAGATTTTAAAGACGACTCTACTACTACTAATACTACTACTGCTACTACTACTACTACTACTACTACTACTACTACTACTACTACTACTACTTCTACTGCTACTACTACTACTACTACTACTACTACTACTACTACTACTAGTTTCAAGAATCGAAATATTGAATTATTAAAGACGACCTTTAAATTGTCTTGTAACTTTCATGTCAAGTTGGACGTCTTGTAAAACGAGAATTTTAGTCCCGAGGTTAGATCTCTGTTATATCATCTTCATGAGGAGGAGCAGGAATATCTTTTAAACAAGGTTAGACGTCCTTCTATCAAATGGTGTCAAGAGAAAAAGTTAAAAGGTTTTTAGATCAAAGATCATTCAGAAATGATTGAAATTTTTTTTTAAACTCATAATTTTGTTTAGAATATTAAGCCAGAGAAAGCAGTCGGAAATAAAGAATTAACACTTTGTCGGAAATGATTAACACAATGTTAAGAATATCTATTTAATCACAGTTTTAAATCTTCAAATTCTGTTTAAATTATACCTTTGTGTCTTTATTGAGAAAAAGAATTGAGTTTTTGCCACAAACTCAGATTTTCTAATTATTATAACTTAGAAACCCGTTTTCCTAGACATTTGATATTTCAAACTATTAATTCTGGTAGATCAAATAGTCTAAGTTTAAAATATCAAAGGTTTACACCATCAGGTTGTAAAGATATAGGGGTTAAAAAATTTAAGTTTGGTGCAAAAACTCAATTCCTTTATGTAAAAATTATTCAGGGGGAAATAAGAAGTCTTTAACAAAAAACGATAAGTTTGGAAATTTGAAAAAGGTGTTTTTCTTAAATTTTAAATTTTAGAGGTTTTAGAAGAATATATAGTCCACAAGAACCTAAATATTCAGGATGCAATAGAGAAGGAACATGAGATATCATGCAGCTCCTCAACCGTAGATGTTGCTCTCATGATGCCCTTTTTGGACAGGTTTCATTTAATATTCAATTCTAATGTTGTTCAATAAATATTCATTCTTTCATTCGTGCATCTATATTTAAACCTTTTACACCCAATACGAACATATAAAAAATGGGACCATTCTAAACTAACCAGAATTTCTTAGTGAATCTATTAACAGTTAACTCAATTTAAACACAAATTTTCTAATCCTGGGATTACAAATATAATTTATTTGCGTGTCTTTAAAATTGATTCAGGATTTTTATAACAATTAAAGTAAATTTTTCATTATCTTTGTCATAATTATGGATACAAGGACAGCTTACCACAATTTGGAATCAGGGATCGTACAAACGTACGATTTGGTTTTCATAAAATGTGGTTCTTGATGAGCTTTTAAGACAATTCTAATGTTGTCACTTCGCTCCTAGGGTGTGAGGTTATTTGGTACAATGAGATCTTGAAAATAAATAAGTACAATTTAAAACAAAGTCAACTAATGACTAGCTTCTATTTAAAAGAGCTATTATGGAGATGTGTAATTTTGCGAATATTTAACTATAAGTCCTAAAAACCTGAAAACCTTGATGTGATAATTGTTTTTTCTTCAGCAGTTAAAGAGACTAACAGCGTAATTGCAAGTGAACTTCCATGCAAAAATGGCAATTCCAATTTGCAGCTGTACCATTGAAACCTTAATCTGATAAAAAATATTAAAAATATCCTCGTTTTTCTGACTCGAAGTGTGTTTATTTCAGTGAGTTTCTCCATTGCTTCTTATAAACAAGCAATACACAAGTCACTTTTCTAATGAAAATAAACAGTTTAAAGAAACAAAACATTGATATCTATAGCATACTTGAGCATACAAAGCTTTCAAGGATACCGTTGTAATCGGGCATTGGCATCTTTGAATGGAGGGTCACTTAAACATTATGCTGACAGTCCCTTTAGGATCAAACATATTTCTAGCTAACATAGCATCTAGGTATCCGACTACAGCAGCTACCTATATACCAGTCCTTGAGTGGATATATATATATCTAGGTATCCGACTACAGCAGCTACCTATATACCAGTCCTTGAGTGGATATATATATCTAGGTATCCGACTACAGCAGCTACCTATATACCAGTCCTTGAGTGGATATATATTCATCTAGGTATCCGACTACAGCAGCTACCTATATACCAGTCCTTGAGTGGATATATATATATATAGGTATCCGACTACAGCAGCTACCTATATACCAGTCCTTGAGTGGATATATATTTATATCTAGGTATCCGACTACAGCAGCTACCTATATACCAGTCCTTGAGTGGATATATATATCTAGGTATCCGACTACAGCAGCTACCTATATACCAGTCCTTGAGTGGATATATATATCTAGGTATCCGACTACAGCAGCTACCTATATACCATTCCTTGAGTGGATATATATATCTAGGTATCCGACTACAGCAGCTACCTATATACCAGTCCTTGAGTGGATAACTATTTATTCATCGAAGAAAATAATTTTTCATGCAAGTACATTTTTACGGAGTAGGTACAAATCACCTAAAAAAAATAACAACTAAATTTCGAAACACCAAAATTAAGAACACTTAAAATCTACAATAACTAAATTTCAAAAGGCCTAAATGTCAAAACACCTTATTCTCATAACACCCAAAATTACAAAACACCTAAATTTCATTTAAGGCCTAAATTTTATTTAATAGTAAAACACGTAAATTTTGTTATTTCGAATTCTTACAATTTGAAAACATTATTAAAATTGAACACCCAAGTGTCAGAACACATCATTTTCAACACACCTAAATTTATTTTAAAGGTAACAACATTTAAATTTTTAACTTTGAATAAAAAACATCATTGAAATTAAATTCTACTGCTGTATTTTTATTTTAAATGGGTATATAAAAAAGCATCAAACTCTACTTCAATCTGCAGAAATTGTTACACTCAGAAAAGAATTCATTCAAATATTCAACTGTTTAGTTGTTTTGTTTACATGGAATTTAGGTATTTTTCTTCTTCAATGAAATTTCAAAAAAGTTAATTTGAAAACTTTGATGTTTCTGTATTCAGTTGAAATTTAGGTTCTTTTTACATTTAAATGAAATTTAGGTGTTTTTAGCCTTGAACATAATTTAGGTTTTTGTCCTTTAGGTGTAATTTGTCCTTAAGGTGTTTTGACACTTTTGCTGTTTTGTTCTTAGGCATTTTGACTTTGACACGTGGGTGTTTTTACATTAGGTGTTCTGGAGTGTTGTTGTTTTGTTTTTAGGTGTTTTGTAACCACTCCCATTTTTACATAAAGATTTCCCAGGGTGGGTTAGAGGGGCGGTATCCCAGGGTTGGATAGAGGGACGGTATCCCAGGGTGGGATAGAGGGGCGGTATCCCAGGGTGGGATAGAGGGGCGGTATCCCAGGGTGGGATAGAGGGACGGTATCCCAGGGTGGGATAGAGGG